ATATGTATAAATATACACATGCACACACTTTATATACATATATTATATATTCCTTACCGTCCAAAGGTGATATATTAAAATCGTTTCGGTCCAAGAATCTCCAGAATGTTTGAATAACTCGCAAATATATAATATATAGTGCGTGGGGCGCATGTGTTCGCGAAACCGAACTTTGGATATAATACACATCATATATTGCGCATTTTATTGCCACCTATACGGACGACGACACACATCGTTTAATCAAACTCCGCCGCCGCTTTCAGACGTACTCTACGTGTACATATATATGTGTACAACGCAGTCGATGACTTTATAAGATATATGTGTGTGCGTGTGTGTATGAAGACTTCAACTGTGGTTGGACGATATTTGCATGCACGGCAGTACGTCTGGAAAATGCTGTACTTATACGTGTTTCAGATGACAGACACCCACCGACAACTTCTTTAAAAAAAATTTCTTCACTCCTGCTTTTAAGAGTAATATAATAATTCATGCAGGTCCTTACACGCGTGAATTATAATGAAAGTATATTCTTTTATACGACTACACGAGTCTATGTACTCTGTTATGGCTGAACCAGAAAAAAAAATTGTTAGGAACACTACATTGTTTCTTGTTTGTGTGTGTGTGTGTGTGTGTGTGTGTGTGTGTGTGTGTGTGTGTGTGTGTGTGTGTGTGTGTAAGTATTCAATAATATGAGTATTCAAAATGAAGATTTTATATTTATAAAAAAAAAATATACCCATTAGATAGGTACTGACTGAAAAATTCAAAGGATTTTCAACAGGCAATTTTCCCGACAAATTAAGAATAATGAAGATGTAAACAAGTGGTTCCACTAACACCACTTTTAGCTAATACCATAAGCTCGCAATGTTTTCAACAATATTGTGACTGATTTCTATTAATTTAATAATTAATATTGGCGATTACCTTGTTACTACTAATTGTAGGTCAACAGTTTTCAGTTTTATTAAAAAGGGCAACATTGGAATAGCCAAATATAATGAAAATAGCTTAAAATATTAAAACATATTAACTCTATTTAATGTAAACCATAGGAGCAGATTACAATATTATATTATTATTCTATAGCTGACTATAGGTACAATATGAAAGTATAAAACAACAGCTTAAAAAAAAAAATAATATTTGTATGATAAAACTGCGCAACACTATAATATAAATTATAATTGCGTATTTTGTGATTAATCATAAACTAATAACTGAATTTGTATATTATTATTAATTATTAATGATCATTTTAAGCGTAAATGAGTGAAGTGGTGTACCACAAATGTATGCAATTTTTTCATGACTAAATAATATTACTTATTACTTTAGTCATGTTATCCAAAAAGTTTAATTTTTAAATCGAGTACAAATTTTTATTTGAAATTTAAATTTAAATAACGGCAAAAAAGTTTTAATTTTTAGGACTTATATTAACATAGTAATCGCAATTTGGCAGCATAGGTACAAGTTACGTCCCAAATATAACCAGGAAAAAAGGTCATATAGGTACTCATATCCGAATTGCGGTTCGATTAATATTTGCCGTATCTGCAATACCTAGCAATATTATTAATTATTATTGTTCCCCATTCGATAATAACGACAGTCAGCCGTCATAATATAGGTTTATTTTATAATATTATAATATATTTTGAGGCTAATGACCTGAGTTGTTGAAGCCTTTAACCTAATAAAAAATATATATATATTTATTTTTACTAGTTCAAGATGATTTTCTGTATCTATTAACTAGATCTATCTTATAACTAATTGACATCACTGACCGAATTATTTTCTAGGGTTCAGGTAGAGGTAGGTACATACATGTTATAAACTCTATATAAAAAGAAACTTTTATTTCTAACACTATGAAATAATTTAGAAGAAAAACTAAATTGGCAAACTTGAATTTATAAGAAATATTATATCATACAATTTTTACCAATGCTATAACATTAATTAAAAATATTTAATACCTGCGACAAACATTCTAAATAAAATCAATATAACATTTTTAACCTAAAATAATGTTTAATTAGTCGCAGACTCAGTTATTATTCGTATGACGTATGCTAAAAAAACCTGGGATTCAATTCATATGTACCACAAAATTCGGAAGACATTTTTACCGTGAGACGCAACTAGTTGCATTCGTAGGTTTAGGTAAAATGAATACATTACTCAATAAGTGTTCAAAATATTTAATCATGATTCATTTTATAAGCAACTCGCGTTTTTAAGTACCTACTACTTACCTAGTCGTATAAATGTTACAAGCATTAACTATATTATATAGGAATGACATCTAAACTAAAATAATTTGTATATGAACTTAAGTAGTACCATACAATTTTTTTCATTTGATACATAAATATAGTGGCTATGTGTCTATCTAAGTAAAATTATTTATTTAGTTAACTATTAGTATTTTTTTATTATGTTTATTGTTTTCCAAAAAATAAAAATGTGTGGTATTACTCGTACTGTGGGGTAATATTGAGCATGCTCGGAGGAATTCCTTGCAATGATTTTAACAAGAAGTTACATAATATGGACGTACAGTAACTAGCCTGCTGACTAGGCATGATTCTCTATGATAACTAGGTAGTAATTCATGTTTGGAGCATTCACTAGAAATAAATTTATGTGGCGCTATCTATCACTGTTTAGATGAATTTCTTTTTTGTGTATTGTGTTTGTTTGTTTGCCTATACTTATACTTCTAGGATAACATTATACAATTACATACTTTTATTTCATTCCTGTATAAAACTATAAAAATTTAGAACGTTTTTTTAATTCATTACAATGTATCGTATTGTACCTGCATGGTTTTACATTTTCTATATTGCCAATTACTTTCAAATTGCAATACATTACGTATTATTAATTGTCAATTCTTCATTTTAAAGGATTATTAATGAATATTATTAGATACCTATTTGTTTTTAAATCATAAATTCATAAATGTGTAACGTCAAAATATACCACATCATTGAAAAAATTACAAGATAAAGTACATTTTTGGAATTTTTTATAGTTTTTGAGTAAAACTCTCATGTGGATATCATTAATCTCAGAAAATTCAGTACAGACATCATTCATAAGCCTATACGTTTATAGTGTAATGCCCAGTGTTGTAAATTATTTGAGTATTGGTATTCAAATAATTTTTCAAGTTGAGTACATTTTAAATACTTTGAATTTGATAAACTTTGGAATTGTTGTAAAAATAGCAATAACCCTCAAAATCTTTTATTTTTACATAATAAGCCCATTACCCGCAGTACCACATCTATACGGTCTAAAACAACAGTCACGTCAATTTTTTTTAAAGCGAAACTTCTTTAGGCACGGTACTGTAAGTCAGATGCTTTGGATTTTGTCGGCCGGTCACCGTGTTCCTCCTAGCCAGTAATTATGCCGGAGTGGACGAACTGGGCGAACTGACCTACAGGACAAAAGGTTCCACAATCTAACGCTATACATTATTAAGAAGCCGGACTGCAGGATAAATGCCGATCGTCTGTTAGGACCCTTAGGTTTCTATGGTAATAACTAATAAATAATATATTTTTATCAAGAAGATCCCGCTTGAATTTTCTACCATAATATACCTATTTTATGCCAACTGTACACCGTCTATTCAAATCATCAGATAACACAAACGAAAACATTTTTTAATTTTGAACTATTCATAAAGCTTACTTGAAAATGACTTTTCCACTTTTTGGTAATTTAATTCAATATTCATTATCCCTTTAAAATTAGATTTTTAAATTTTGAATATTAAGAATTTTAAATTGTTAATACCTAACATTGAAATGGAAAAATTAATCTAAAAATGTAAAGAAGCCGTTTTTAGATAAATTATATGACGAACTCTAACATGTTTTCAGAAACTTGATCGGATGAGTAAGTTGATACATTTGACTAGAAAAAAACAAAATTAATACTAGGCATTCGTGTAATCCGTTATTGCTATGTTAGGGCACGCACAGGAGCGCACAGCTATTTCTTTTACACACAATCCAATATACACTTACTCTAATGATAGCGTACTTATTGGATACTAAGCACACGTTTACACGGCCCTGCCGAAATAAAATATCGAAATTGCCTATATTAAACTCCTTAAAAAAGTATCATCGTCAGTATCCGATTCCCTTAATTAATACAACTTTTATCAATGAAATGTGTTCATCTCTATAACTGTTTTAATATTTTAACTATTATTTGTAAATAATTAAAATTTTGTTGTTAATTGTTAAAAAACTAAAACAAAACGAATATTTACATTTGAAATTAGAAATTTTATGGACAAAAACCCGTACTGTAATCGTATAAATCACACCTAATTGTTAATAATGTTATATTGTAGTAATTTTTTTTACTGAATAGTAAATACAATTTTACTTAGGTAGTAATACTTTTTTGGAGTATTAGTTACAAGTTTACAACACGCCTATACTTCAATATTTTACAACGGCTGTATATTCTGATAAGTCTCCTACTGCCCTATTATTTCTATATTATACTTAATTTACTGACAAATGATAATAAACGACATTATCAGCATCAAATTAAAGCATACAATAGTAGGTACCTATATACCATATACGAGTCTTATTTTGCGACATGATCTATCCACACATATCGGTCTCGTAATAAATTGGTATATCTCAAATGATTTTTTTTCCCGTTAAACTTTATACGCTTAAGCGCCTCCAATGGCCGGCTTCTTATCTCCTGCCGCTCAAAGCCATGTCATCTCCATCACATACGCGTACTGTATAATAATACTTACAGATTGTATATTTTAATAATAAATGATAAAAAAAAAAAAAAAACTATATACGTCGGATTAGGTGAAATCAGCTGAATCCCTCCTCCCCCCTCTATACGATGTAAATTATAAATTGGTAGGTACTGCGGTTACCGACCGTGATTGTGACCGTTTAAAACGATTATACGCGGACCCGATCACGAGGCGATCCCGCCGCAGTCGCGAATAATATCCGTGCCCGTTCGCATTGATGCGATACGGCAAGAAGTCAGTCAGACGCACGTAAAGCGATGGCCGATTTTGCTTCGGTTATGCAAAAAGTGGACAAGCCGCCGTCGCCCGACGCCCGGGTGGTGGGCCTCCAGCAGGACGACCTGAGGCTGTACAAGGCCCGGTGGATAATTCTGGTCGTGTACATGCTTTACTCCATGGCCAACGCAGTGCACTGGATACAGTACAGCATCATATCCAACATCACGGTGAAGTTCTACGGCGTGTCAAACTTCGCCATAGACACCACGTCCACCATATACATGATCGTGTACGTGCCCCTGGTCGTACCGGCGTCCTGGGTTCTTGACCGACTGGTTAGTGTTGTATTGCGTTCGTTCATCATCATTGTTGTCGTTTTGGTGGTGGTGGTAGTGGTGGTGGTGGTTTTGGTGGTGGTCAAGGGCTAGCCAGAGTTTTTTAGAGGTGTTTTAATTGAATATGTATACATATAACATGTGGGGTGGGGAGTTCTTTACTAACACTCCATCATAGTCATCAATCTTCATATTGATGATACAAATATGGAATAGAACCACGTATTATAACAAAATATTTTAAATCATACAGTACATATTTTATTTTTTACTTATAAATACTGCCGATGGGAAGTAACCTCCCCTATAGCTGGTTGGTAGTGGAATGTGGTGGAAGTGGTGAATAGTCATCACTCATCGTGGTTGTTTGCCATTGTTAATGCGACTTTATAATATAGTCGTCGATGGTGACGTAAGCACTAGAATCAAAAACATTATTACCATCCGCCATAACTACACGCAATAAACAATACACATAATAAATTGATAGAAATCCGGCGATCTGTTATAATTGATCGACAATAAATTGACAACATTTCCACCCACAAAATTTATTTTAGACCCTATAGTGGCAAATATGCAATGAAACGCTCCCGATGACCGTTAATACATAATATATATAATTTATTAGTAGGTAGAACTAAGCCATGCGACATAGTTAAACTACGTATATACATATTATAATAGCCCGCAGCTGCATCGCCATTGAGAAATGCGCATATATTAAAATATTTTTACATTTATAAAATACATAATAAATAATAATGATAAATGTTGAAGTACCTCATACTAATCAATTACTTTATCAGTTATTCAGTTACGATTTAAAGGGTAAATTGGCAATTGGAAGGTCCGGCCCAAGGGTTTCAATAATTTATCGTCGTGTAATTCGATTGATATATTTCTTTATCCACGGTACTACGGTTAGTGTCACATTCGTTGAGTATGTGTTTGGTGGAAAGTATGACGGCACATGTTTAAATAAAGCGGAAGCGCCTCGCAAAACATTGCAGGGTGATTTAAATATTCTTAGTCTGCTGATGTTGTTTTCTTTCCTCCGTACAAATTGTTCTGGAGAATAGAAGGTTTTATTTCATTTAATTTGGTTTTTTGTTTTGACCAAAGAATTTGCCGGATTGTTAAGTACCTAATTAGTTTTATTATTCGTTTAATATTGTGAAAGGTGATGAACGAAATGTTGTCTACCGAGATCGAGGATGCTGTATTATTGGAATGTATGTCAGCTTTTTAGATACCTTTGGACCTGTGAAAATCAAGATGGTGAATAGTCTTTGCTTCTGGTCATCACTCATTACATTTATGAATGTTATTGCAATAGCTTTGATTGTGAGCAAGGAGTAACTTAAAATGATAAGTATTATTTTTTAGTTTTTCAAATTCATATTCAAGAGATTTTACAATAACAGTTGCTTCATCGGTGTACAAGGATCACTCTAGTGTAAGCTCGTATGTTATTCCTTCCTCGGTATATACAATAGTGATTCCCACATTACCTTGCAGGAATCCGTTATATATTTTAAATTTTAATATACTTAGTTTATTTCGTTTTTGTTTATGAAGTCATGTATACATAAATGAGACTTACTTGAGTTTCTGGGTGGATTGGCAAGATTGCATGATAGCAATGTTTAGGGCGTGTAGTTCATGGAGGAATGCTGGAGATTTTGGATGTGAGAATGTTTTGCAGTTTAATGTTGTTTTTTCGACAACAGCTTGAACCAAGCCCTGGTTTGATGGTAGATATAATTTTGTTTCTAGTAAATATGTTAGTACAAAAATCGTTGCAATTTCATGAAGTTTGATATAAAGTGACATTATGATGGTTAATTGGTATCTACATTAAGTAAGTAAGCTAGGGACTGAATTGGACCAAAAAGTTCTGGTTACCAGTCTTACTCTAACGTTATTAATTGTACCTATCTAATATTTTTTAAATTATAAATCAAGTGTAAAATGCTTATACATGCATCATAATATTATTAAATACGTAAGATTTGTTTTTGTAGCTTTCTCTATCAAAAAAGTGAAAAAACTTTCAAAAATATTTTTGCTACGATCTAACCAAACTTTAAATTTCATGACTGATACTTAAGGTATCTTATCTTTTTAACAACTTAAATTATTACACTTTTGACAATGTACTTGTTGCTAGAATACTTAAATATGAAGGAAAATAGTATAATATACTTATATGGATCCATAACGTAGTTCAATCCTTAATATATATATATATATATATATGTAAAACCCTCAAAATATACAAGGCACATACAATTGTAATACTTTAAAAATTATTAATTCATACTTGAATCCAGAATGAAATCTAAGAATTACATAATTAATACGAACTGACTTCAAACCGTTTAATTAGTGGTGTTCGTATGAGAACAATAAAATATTATTGAAAATCATAATATACTAAATATACTCAGAAAGTATGATGAGTATTGTGATGAGGCCCGCAGGCACGTAGGTACCTTCTAAATATTCTACAAAGGAAAAAAATGACCACTGTAACTTAATAGTTGATGTTGATGACATTGAAAGTGCTTATAAATATAAACTATTGAGTTACAAATTGACGAAAGTCTTACAACTGCCTTTCAAGTTTCATTATACCCATTGCCAATAACTTACAGTATTATTCGAGTCTCTATGAAACAAAATTTAACGAAATATTTGACTTTTGAAAATAAAAAACAATTAAAATTGTTAACTGTGTTTGGAACATCATATTCTAATTGTGAACAAACTTTTTCACTACCTAATGATGTGTGTGAATAACCGATGATCATTTAAATACTGCAGTGAGGATTTCTACATTGAAAATCAAACCTTCCAATAATAAATTGGTTGATATTTATTCAAATTCGAAAACTGCATTAACTTTTACTTTGTAATTTAAACATACCTTTAGAACACCTTATATCCCAGTTTTGTCCGTCCGTCTGACTGTTAGTTACCAATACATACCTAGTTACGAATGTTCGTATTAAGATTTTATAACCACGGTTCTATTCAAAGTACATTTACTTATACTAGTCAAAATTTAAAAAAAATCAAAAAATGAAGATTTAAAATAGATTTATAATTAGTAGCCAATATTAAAAATGACCAAATGTCCAAATATAAAAGTTAGGTACCAAAAAATTATTTTTGAATTGTATTATGGTATTTTAGTTTATTGCGTTGTATTAAAACGTGTTTAGAAATCATGAGTTTAGCATGCTCTCAGCTTTCCTAACTTGTTTTATTTAATTTTTACATTTATTATTATTATTATTATTATTATTATTATTATTATTATTATTATTATAACTTAGTTCATGGATAAATTGTTAAATTAACATAGGTACATCATAACATTGTGTACTTTAATAAACTAAATTTTATGTGGCCACACATTTTTGTTTAAAATAAAATAAATTAGGTGTATTCAAATTGTGACCCATGAAAAATTTTAATTTATTTTTTGGCCCTTGACATCAAAAAGGCTACCGACCCCTGTTGTAAACGAAAACCTGCATCGGTCCACATTACCCAAGGCAATCAAATATTTTAAATTAACAAATCAAATGCTGTCAGGATGATCAATCGCAACTACATGATTTAATTATTTAACCTCAACCAATATAGCTAATTTAATAATACCTTGTCTGATAAATGTATTATTTATACACTTAGTTTCAGCTCGACAATTTTTTTTATTAAATATTGTCGTTTAATTATTTTAATCACTATGGATGTATAAGTACATAAATACCCACCCTAAATAATAAATTATATATAATAATCTTTTTTTTTTTTATTATGGTATCGAGGACTGGAGGAGGAACTATGGTGCCAGTACTTCTCCTTCAGCCCAGATATATATAATAATCTCTAAATTTGAATTTATATTCGACAAAATACCAATCATAAATTAATTACACATTAAATATTTAAAAATCAATGGAAATTTCACTTAATCGCGTCTGGTGTTAAATTTATTAAAAATCTGAATTAGTATATGTTTATAAAATTTTGAAGTTATAAAATAGTTTAATAACAATTAAACGTAGAACGTGCATATGTACGAATAATCTGCTTTATCACATATTTGCTTGTATTGTGTTTCAGGGTCTTAAAGTGACGATGGTGATGGGCGCTGCTGGCACATGTCTGGGAGCATGGATTAAGGTTTTTTCTGCTGTACCTGGTCGATTTTTGATCACGCTGCTGGGACAAGGTTTAGTGGCGTGCTCACAAGCATTCATCCTGAGTTTGCCTTCCAGATTAGCGGCGGTTTGGTTTGGATCTACCGAAGTATCTACCGCTTGTTCTTTAGGAGTTTTTGGCAACCAGGTAAATTCGTCTCAACCTTTTATTTAGGACGGAACATGAGTTAATGATTCAATACGCCGATGAGAACACATAAAAAAAAAAGTCCAAATTAAAAAAAAGTTACATTTTTTATAGTATCATGGATTGTCAATCTATTACAAACTAAACAAATAATGTCCAAAACATATTTAGAATACTGCCAGCTTAGATAAATATTTATAGTCGTATATTGACACAACCATACTGCGATACCACACATCAATTACTCGTAACGTGTCAAATATTTACGTGTATACAGGGTGGGCCATCGTATTTTCAGTCAAGTTGATATAGGAGAACAGAGGAAAATGCGGTGACCCACACTCTATAAATATTAAGTATTGTGTTAGGTACCTCGTGCCTACTATATAATACAATTCTGATTTCATATGAAAACTATAAAGGACATAACACAGTCTATAGTTACCTCGTATGATCAATGAAAATGTGTCATTACTCATGAATAGTATACCTGCAAATACACGGTTATTTTATCAGGATCAATAACCTTTTCAAAACCTCAATAGGTTGAATGGTTAAATATCAATATAGATATCAAAACAATCTGTGATAACTAATAAAATACCAAGGCCATAAGAAATTAATTTTACATTTATTATTAATCTATAAATCAACAAATTCAATCTTTCATTCGTACCCCTAGAATTATATTTTAAAAATGCACTTGTATTTGTAAATTAAAATTTAGTATTTTACACTACTAACCCTTATATTGTAAAATACTAAATTAATTGTAGGTTCTGGTATTAACTAATAAATTTCGAATTTTAAAATTTTAATTTTAATTTTATATCTAAAATGTCCACTACCTATCATTTAAATTTTACCCAAACATAAATAACCGATGATTATAATAATGTTAGATAAAATGGTCAATTTCAATATGTAATACCATCGCGTCGTTGGAAATAGTCAAAGTATTGAGATGCAATACATTTCTCGGTTTTCTAAGATAATAAATAAAAATATATTAAATTCCATTCCCATTATAAAAATAAAACAATATCCTTAAAAAAAAAACCACGGAAGTTGTTCTAATGTATAGTTTTAGATGTCAAGTGTGCCGTAAGTCATTGAGTAGGTCATTGCAATGGATACGTCCATTTAAATTCAATAATAAAACATTGTATATGATGATAAGCAACTATGCCAGTGTATAATTATATAAATGTTTATATTGCAACAATTCGAATTTTTGATTCTTTTTGAATATAGATAATATTAACATAAAAGTTAATTTTGAAAATTATTTGTCTCTATAGTTAATCATTTTTAATTACTAACAACAATAAAACAAAATTGATTTTATCGAAACCTGTTATTGCTTAAAATTTACTGTTTATACTACATTATTGATTCTGATCTGAGCTAAGAATATGTGTTGATTTTACAATTATGTATATTTTTTTGTGTCTGCCATCAGTAGTCACCATCTTTTGGGGCAGTAAAAACGCTTTAGTTTTCTACTTTAACATATTTTCTGGTATAAAAATAAATTGCTAGTATAAATGTAACTGGTACTTTGAGGCATCAAAAGTAAAAAATTCTAAGCAATTTTAAACAATTAAAACACCCCAACAAAATTAAGGCAAAATGGAAATTTTTAAGTAAAACTATTTTTTGACGTTATTAATTTTGTTATTTTGTGTGACGCCATAGTGAAATAAAACGATATATACCTATATGGAATTTATATCAAATATATATTTTATTATTTTCAATACATAGTAAAATTTTCAAAATATTTTGACTTGTTTTGAGCTATTTATAGACATTTTCAGTTATTTACCTTTTTTCCTATAAATGTCATTCAACATTTTCAAATTTATTACATGATTCCTCGTTGAAAAAATTTATTAAGATACGTAGGAACGATTTTAGTTTTTTCAATTAAAACTTGACAAAACATGACAAAACTTCTAAAAAAAATCTTGACAATTTACAGCTTGTGTAGTTGAGTAAAATGTTAATCATTTATAGCTAAGGATTGAAAGTTTAAAACAAGGTTTCTAATAAGTAGTTATACTATAACCAAAAATCTAAAAAAGAATATAAATACCGTTTTTTATAAATAAATTAAGTTCAAATTTGGACGAAATTAGATATTTAAATAAAGAATAACAATTTATTTTGTTGTAATTTAAAAATTGTATTAATGAATACTTGAAACTTTTAAAGTAGGTATATTATTATATTTTATACACATTACACCCAATGTCATTTTTAAATGCTATATTTTTGGCAAACATGAATTCAACATATTATATTGGGTAATAATGGTCAATAGAAGTTTTTGTTCGGGATTGTTTTTTCAATACACATCAATATCCATATGACCATATTACAGTGACCCACACGATGCCTAATTTACGACAGAGTGGCATCCACTTCTTCACCTTTTTTTAGTTGAGTATATAATATACCTATTGCTATTCAATTTAATTGATTATTTTAATATTCTGCAATATTTTTAATTTTAGAATTACATTTGTAGATCGTGGAAAAAAGATGTAGGCATTCAAATTAGTAACTAATTAGTACCTTCCTGGTTACTAAATTAGCAATGTAGAGTTATAACTTATAATAATATTACGTATGTAATTTAATCATCTAGGATGTCCATTTATTTTTAATAAATATTTAATAACAAGTATAATGGTTCTATGAAGCATAAAATAGATGTTACCTGTCGTGTTATTCTATTTTAGACCTTAACATATACAAAAATATTATGCTACGATCACAAGAAAAATAACATCCTGTTTATCTAATCTAGTAAATATTTGATTAATTATATTACAAATCATAACAAACCGCAAGTATAGGTACCACTTGTCCACTTGCTATACTTACATTATTTCTTGACTTTGCTGCATTATCTTCCAGTACTATTATGTAGTTATATTTTCATAAAGGAATCTTTGACAGGATGTTACCAATATCCATAATTTGTGTTAACGACATTGCCCTCGTAACGGTAATGTATATCTGGTTAAATTAGGTCCATTTATATTAAGCCATGAATAGGGGGACAGTATATAGAAATGGGTCCACATAACTATAATAGGAGCACCTAAGCCGCAACTACCGCGTATCAATAACAAAACCATAAAATGTGAAAAGCAATACATTTGTATTCAATGCGTGTATGGTTGCTTATGAAAATGTAACTTACTTAACATTGATCTTGCATGTATCAATCGTTCGAGATATTCTTTTAGTCTGAGCAGAGTAATGATATTTTTGTATTAATTGTTATTATTTTTTTCGTCTGAGAAAGGAACACTTATTGAAGCATTTTTTCTGGTTGTAAAGAGAATGTATTTTGTAGATAAGGGGGGGGGAAGAAAAAATTAAAGAGTACTTTTCAAAATAATCGGGAAAAACAAAAAAAAACTAAAATTTTTACCCAAAACGTAAAAAAATGAAAAATATTTTGTTTTATTGTCTCCATCCAAAAATTAATAACAGTTGAGAATTTATCATAAAATATTTATATTAGCATTTTCTAGAATATGTAATTTCCAATGTATTTTGGCTCTGTAATTATAAATATTTAAAATTCTCTGCTTTTTTAGTTATTTTTGGATTTCTATATGATACCATTTTTGTTTGTGAGTAAAATTTAATTAAGGTTCTTCATTGTTTGCTATTGCCTATTACGTGATTTAAAAATATCGACAGTACATAGTTACACATATTTTCAAAGTATTTAACTTACAAATATACATAGATCTTCGTAAGTTGTTCTTACCGCCATCAACAAATATTACGAATTCATAAGCAACATTTTTTTTATAAACATTTTAAGCTCAAATTTTAACGAAATTAGAAATAGACGAAAATTAACAAACTATCTTTATTATTTTTTTGTCATTCAAATGATTTTTATCGAATTGAAACTATTCGCAATATCGTATATTATTATTTTCTCTTCGAAATAATATTTTCAAAATATTAAGAATAATTTTAAACTATTTATTCCAAGAAGCTATTTAGGTACTTACACCATTCTATACTGTTATTCTGTATTCACGTATAACTTCTAAACAATTAAAATAGGCGATACAATATTATAATAGGTATTATATAATGATATTATATTGGCTAAATCTAGCTCAACGGCAACTAAATTAACATAAGGTATTGCTAAAAATAAAATAAAATATTGATTTCAGTATGAAATATTAATAGGTAAGTAATAAATTGTAAAATGCATTTGGAAATAGAGGCTGCATGTAGCATAGCGTACTGTTTCTTTAGTTTCTACCAAGAATAATTTTGCGTATGCAATGATTTATTGTTAAATTCAAATTTGACACATCCATTGATTACAGTTATCTACTCAAATACTCAATGGTATATAAGTAGGAACTCGAAACCCATTATTATACAGCAAAATGATTATTGTTGTTCATGATTTATTTTTTCTTTAGTAATATACATTTTTCCATAGCTAAAATTATGGGCGACGGTAAGTACCGGTACATAGTTTGAGGTCGATATGCCGGTATACCATCTTTTTCTTAAGAACGGTACACTGAAAATATCGATAAACCTGAAGATTTTATTTTTATTTATTAATTTAATAAGAAGTAAATTAAATCATACAAATGTTATAATATATAGGTATACTTCTTTTTAATAATAAATCAAATTATAACTATAATCTATTATATAACTAAAATATTTTCAATACTGGAATACCGATAATATCTAAAATACCGAAATGTCAAGTATGCCAAATATACCGAATCAAAATACCGGTTTAACGATATTTTCGGTAACCGACTCATACCAGTATAAAATATCATACCGAAATATCAAAGGAAAAAAAATACCAATTACTCCTAGCTAATATTATTAATTTATATTTAATTGATAAATATTAACAGATATAAAATGTTCTAATATAATAATATAATATATTAATTTTAATTAAATTTAAATAAATTTAAAAACTAAATTTATTATTTTAAAAATTATAATATATTTATCGTTATAACAGGTGGATAAACCATAATATAGCTAGTAATTTCATATACCTACCTACATTTAAAAATAATATGTTATACGTGTGTGTGTAATGTGTATATAATTATGTGTACATAATTTATATGTATAGAAATAACTAATACCTAACTAGACAACTAACCGTATTGTTCAAAATTAAATAGATTTCAATTTTTTTTAGCTAGGAGCAGCACTTGGATTTTTAATACCGCCGATGATAGTACAGGATAGCGATAATTTAGAAGACATAGGATATGATCTATGGAAAATGTTTATATCCTTCGCTATTTTGAACACTGTAGTATTCTTTTTAGTTATTTGGAGTAAGTATTATTCACTGGGGTGTGTGTCTGTGTGTGTGTCATTGTCTTACATCAAAGACAAACGTTATATTATTTCAGTCATACAAGCCGAACCACATATAGCCCCAAGTAATGCACAAGTTGTACAAAGAAAAAAAAGAGATGACCCGGCAATATTACAAGACGTATTCATGAGCTCGGTTAAAGAATTGCTGAAAAACAATGGTTACATTTTATTACTTATATCTTACGGTATTAATGTCGGTGCATTTTTTGCGATATCAACTTTGCTCAACCAATTTATTTTGCTCTATTTCCCAGTGAGTAAACTTAAAATAAAAATAATTCATAGTTATTCGGTGCATTTATTATTTTATTTTAGGGTCACGAAGAAGACGTTGGACGAATTGGCCTCACATTAGTACTATGTGGCCTAGGCGGTTCGATTATATGTGGATACATTCTAGATAAAACACATCTCTATAAGTAAGACACTTATTATATAAACTAAACGTAAGTAACATTTTATCTTTTATGTACCTATTTGATATAATTTTCTAATACCTATTAGAATATTTACAATTATTAATTTAGACACCTTATATTACTTATTAGTTATTCGGTAAGTACCTAGGTACCTAGAATAATTACTCGATAACATTTAATCATAAATTAACCTCTGTACATGACCTTACCTCACGCCATGAGCGTATACATGATACATCAACTCAATCATAAATTCCGAGAAATCATAATATAAAAAATAAATATAGTAGTATTATCATAACTAATTATTTATATTTGTACAATGGTCACCTTTAGGTTTTAATTAATAAATAAGGCTTAAAAAATCTCATTTAGACAACAATAGCTGAAAACTCATCTTAATTGGAGAATTAAAAAAAAATATAAATATTATTCGATATTATCCATATTATTATACTGACAAATTTAAAATACATTTAAAGTTTAAAAAAAAATACTCAGCGTTTACAAATATCACTATTTTTTCAATATTATTGCATGAAAACGAAACTTTAAGTATAAAATAATAAAACATACAGTTTTTTTGACCTCCAGACATAAGACATCTTAATGTCGAAATCAATAAAAATAAAAATTATTGTATACGACAAAACGATTTTGAGTAAACGAAGTAAGTGGTCATCATCTTGTATTTAAAATAAATAATACACAAATATTTATGTAATAAATATTAAAACTGAAAAAAAATGTTCATAAATAATATAAATAAGTACCACTCAAAAATGACGAAAAAAACATTGTTTTAACAAGCCAATATACATTATACATTCTTCACATCGCTCATAATCTTAAAGTACTTACATATTATTATTATCGCATATTTTGTAATAAGTACTTTTTGACGTTTTTATCTTGTACCTATATTGAAGGAAATTTAAATAAGTTTGAATATTTCTTATTTTGTGTAATATAAGGTAATGTGTCAAAATTTAAAACTTAAAATCACATATTTTACATTTGTATTTACGTCCTAAACGTTAAAAAATGTGGACATTTTACAGAGGAAAAAGCAATATTTGTGTAGGTTACCTTTTGATTATTAATATTTTTAGAAATTTAAAGTTTTATTCTAAACTTACCGTAATTAATATATATATAGGTATATACAAGTTTAATAGGGTTACATAGGTAGAATTCAAACACCATTTCAATAGGTAGTGTAAATTACCATTAACTTAATGTTTTATACATTTTATCTATTACGATAGCTTATTTTTCTGAAGATAACTACTAACTTTTCACAGATTTTAAATAAATAATATAGAATAACTTCAATGTATTCAACTGCTACTCAAATGATTAACAGTATACATTAAATAAATTGTTATATTTATAGATATACCTACCTTATAAATTTAATATTTACAAATAATTAATAATATAAACGATCATCACAGTTCTATCCAGTTTATAACACTTTATTTACTCAAGTTTAAACAAAATCCATACTTCAATACTTATTAATAGGAGTAGATATGCACCTGCAACGTAACTCAAGAGAAATGTATACTTTTCACACGTTAACTAATTTATGTATATTTTACAATTTTACGATTAAACGATTAATTTAATTTATTTCATAACATATAAGTAACCCAAGTAATACAATAATATTACTAATATACTATTTAAAAAATAATTTATTGTCTTTGACCTTTTTAGTTTTTATTTAGATGTATGGCGTCATATAGAATAACTGACATATATATTATACTTGACATAATTTATCTTATATGTCTAATCTAATGCATACTTAATCTTAAAATTTTTAATCCAGTATGGAAGTTACATTGTTACCTATACATTTTTGATAACTACGTTACATAATATTTAACTCTATAACAATTTTAAAGCAAAATATTATAATAGACGATTCACATTTACAGAGAAACAACCCTGATGGTTTACGGCAGTACATTGATCTCGATGTTGATATATACGTTCAGCTTGTCGCACGGTCAATCTATTTGGATAATATACATTACGGCTTCGTTATTGGGGTAAGTTTGGCAGCCAGAAATAATTAATCACTGTATATTGTATGTTAAACAATAAAGCAATATCAGCTGATCCGTGCCAAGGGAATGGCAATGGGGCAAGCGCCCTAGGGTGGCAAAATTTGTAACATTTTAAAGGGCTCAAATTTTAAAGTATGTATGTTTGATGGAGTTACCAAAAATTATTTCCTCGAGCGGGCCAACAATAGTTAATAAATAATAGTACCGTGTCACAGGAGGCACATACTAAATATGACGATAAAGTAGTCAGAACTCAAAGCCAAATTTTTATTTTTTTAGTATGCCAAAATAATATTATCTAATGACTAATCTAATAATATATATTATATTTGATTGGGTTTTAGTGGTTTTACAAGAATACTTAATAGTAAGCGTTTCATGGCCTATTAAAAAAATTACAAATGATATATATGCTCATATTACAGAATATGGGTAAAATAATATAATATGTGTGCAGCCAAATCGTTTCCTGGTGTACAAAAAATTAAAACATACATTTTTATAAATCATTTTTTTCTTAAAATAAGTTGATAGCTACTTATTTAATATAATAATATTATAGAATTATTAATAATCTTCAATTGGATGTTGAAATTGATTGTTCAGGAATTCGGTTCAACGCATATATTAGGTAATGTTATAGGCAATAGCTACAGCTACATCACTGTTTCAAAGTGTGTTATTCAGTAGTATAATAACCGTTGTGATAATCGCCATGTGGATTTTATCATAGTTCATTTAAAATTATTCTTAACTTGGTTAATTTATCATAAATATTTCGACATAATAACATTCGAACGTGCAGTGTTCAAATACACAATCCACATATTATTTGTTTATTTCATTTTTATTAAAATTTATTTTTACTATTAATACAAACGTCATCTTATACATTTGGTTTGAGCATTTTTTTAAGTTTGGTTCAGGTTCATTGTAAAATTTGGATATTTCGGTTCGTGTTCAAAAAACAAAGCCTGTACCATAGTTCAAAAATGTTGGTAAAAGACTGTAGCTTAAGAGATATAAAATCATAATATTATGTATAATAATTTTTCATATTATTTGTATAATAAACATGTACTATGTATATATTATATTATTTACTTATTATAAAATTAAACCTATATGGTCATACATGATATAGGCTGTTCATGACTGGATATCTACCAGTCGGCTACGAATTAGCCATCGAATTGACGTACCCAATACCCGAAGGCACGTCCAGCGGACTATTAAACGGCGGCACCCAACTGATCGGTTTCATCCTGACGTCGATTTACAGCTGGGTATTCAGCACCATGGGTGATTTGGCGGCCAACATGATGATTGTCGGGTTGCTGACTTTCGGGTTCTTGTTGACAATATTCATACCGACTGACCTGAAGAGGCAGGCCGCGCATAAAGCGATCGACGAAAAACAAAAATTGGGATTTGGACTTTGAATAATATAATATATTATTATATAAATTATTATATTATACGTAAAATATTTTATTACAATCATCGTCGTATCTTCTATTGTTACCGGATTCATTTATTGATGTATTCTATTTTTTTTCTAATTCGTTTTGGTAATATTTTATTATTATACTATTATTATACTGTGTACATAATATATGATATATTATTATTAAGAGTCTATAGCAAATAAAAATATGCATACAAATATACAAACGCGCCCGCGGTCACAGACAACCATCTCGGTTTCCTGCACCGAATTCGTGGAATTTAGATAATATTAAAATACTGTAGTTTACTAACGTGGGTATAATGAATAAAGCGGTAGACATATTTTATACAGAGCTGGTATCTACTATATAGACTTCGTTTCGTTTTCGGTTGCACTCATCCTTCCTTTCACTCTGCATCTTCCTACACGACAGCACTACGACTATAGTAAATTAATAACATTACATATCACAATACTCGTTTGTACAACCTCTGATTTAGAATCATGATTTTTATGCATAAAATTACTGTAATCTTCAAACATGTTTTTGGTAGTCCGATAAGAGTGTAAAAGATTTTTTGTAAACTGGAAAAATTGAAACCATAATGTAAATATAATATGGTATTTAAGGCTGTATAGAGTCGAATCGTTTCCGGAAATATAAAAATTAAAATATACATTTTTTTCATTTTTTTAAATCAATTTTTTTTTTTAATTAGATGGTATAACTACGTTATGGTATTCAATTAAAATTATATTTTTAAATAAAAGAGCAACGTTATTATATTGGTACCAAAATAAATATTAATTAATAGGTAAATGTGAATCATTACGGTGTTTAAATTGTATATAATAATATTATTGATTTTGTAAATCTTTAATCAGATGTTTAAATATATGTATAAGGAATTCGGTTCAAAGCATGACGTGTTATGCCTTATGTATTTAGTTTGTTTAATAGACGATAGACATAACTACAGCAAGTAGATATACTACCTATACATATAATATCACCGTTTCAACATGTGTTACTCAGTGGTTTAATCGTTGTGATAATCACCACGTGGATTTTATCATAGCTTATTTAACATTATTCAGTTTTAATTTAATAAGTAATAACGTAAGTTCATTTATCATAAATATTTTGACTTTGTAACATTGAAATATTCTGCAGTGCACAAACGCACAATCCACATATTATTTGTTTGTTAAATGTTTGTTTCATTGTTACTATTATTTTTTTTTACATTCAATACAAACGCTATGATATGTACCTAGTGTATTTGAATACATAAAAAAAAATGTTTTCATCATATTTCGTCATAATAATTGTTAACGTTTTTGGAATTTTTTCAAGTTGGTTGGGGCTTGATGAAAAATTTTAATATTTCGGTCCTTGTTCAAAAATGTAGGTAAGACATTGAGGCCAATCTGGTATACAATCATGTGTGTGATAATTTTTCATAGTATATAAAAATAAAATATTTGTTTAATATACATATACAATTTATGTATTATTTAGTTACATATTATAAAATATAATCTAAATGGCAGTGCGTGCAATAGATAGGCTGTCATGAGTGAATATCTGAACGCCGGCTCGAGATAGCCATTGAATTGACGTACCTAATACCCAAAGGCACGTCCAGCGGACTATTAAACGGCGGCACACAACTGATCGGTTTCATCCTGACGTCGATTTACAGCTGGGTATTCAACATCATGTGTGATTTGGCGGCCAACATGATGATGGTCGGGTTGCTGACAATATTAATGCTGACTGCAGACCTGAAGAGGCCTCACACAAAGTGATGGACGATAAATAAAAATTGGGATTTGAACTTTGAAAATAATATAATATTTTATTATATAAATTAATTCAAATTATTATACTATTCGTAATATTATATTGTGTGGCAAGGGCAGGAAGTGAGCTATTTTAGTCCCAGTCGAGAACTGCATTTCGTCCAAGACTGAAATTACCTTTCTGCACGAACCACATATACCATTTTTTTATCATTCATTTGGGTTCATCGATCACGGGAAAGGTAATAGGTACAGGGATCTATGTAAAAACTAGACTATTCTTCGAAAACCATTTCATGAAAAAGAAAATCGTGGGTGTAGTGTGTTACAATAATATTAGCAGATGAAATAAAACTACTTTATCAAAAGGGTACGAGAAAAAAATTTGATAAAATATTAAGTTTTTAATGGAAAAATAAAAAAATAAAATGTTCAATTGAAATTAATTTATTATTATAGGTACAAATATAAGACCAATAGATTATTATTTATTATGATAGAAACATAAAATATGACTAGATTTTGCCGGCTGGCGTCTGCCGTTCGGTTTTTTTACATACACAATTAGATTGTAGTAAACAGACAGTGGCGTTTTTCACCGACCGATCAGTTCGCCGACTCTGGTTTATTTACTGTTTGTTTAAGTATAACAACTTATAATTGTATTAAATATGTATTTTATTACTTTTATTACTTAATTACTTAATAATATAAAATCACATTATTTTCTATATTATAACATAACCTATAAAAAGTGAATTATCAATATATGTCCTTATCACACATGCCTCTTTTTTTTTTACAACAAAAATATATTGATAAATACACATAAGAATATATGTCCTTATCACACATTTACTATGATAGGAGAAACACGGCAACCCTTAGATCATATACTATCATGGATGGAGCCACGGTGTATTATTTAGTTGCCGATATTATCGACGAGTCTCTTGATTATGTGCTCGATATGCGCATGAGCGAAGTTACTAGTCGCATTTTTACCAGTTGGGAAATCAGATATCAGTCTATTGATATTTGATGTTAAAGTACGGTATTTTATTTATTGTTTTGTATTATACATTTATACGTCTATGAAACTTTGTATTGTATGGTATAATAGTTTTTCTATTATATAGTATTATACACATTTTATACGGTATAAAATCCTGTATCCTATCTTTTAAGATATATACATTTTTTAAATATTTATTTTTTTATAAAATTTTCATTATAATGGTTATGCAATTATAAATAAATAATTAATTAATCAAAATTAATTGCCAGCCGGCAAAATCCGATCGTCTGATTGGACCCTTCGTATCCAGTAAGCAACGGCCGTGACACTTTTTAGTCGCAACGGTGGAGACCATGAATCTGAGGAGCGTTTAAATACAGGAATACACCGCTCATGGTGCGCTTGCGCATTTGCTATCTTGCGCATAATGTAGATATTAGATAGTATGTTGATTATCAGTTATCAGTAATTTAAGCGGCAAACTAAAATGTTTAATAAATAGTAAGCTACTTTTTTTAGCTATCTTTATGGTGCTATTTCATTTAAGGTCACTAGTAAAACACATTTTACCTGACACATTAACACACTTATGACATAGGAATTTAGAGTATTTAGACATCTTCTATTTCTAACATATTGATTGAAGCAAGATTATAAAAATGTAATAGGCGGGAATTCCTGAATATGATATACTAAAATCCGATCTATAGTAGCTAGTGTATAACTTTTTTGTACTTCACGATATATTATTTCTTTATACAAATGTATTTTGTTTGTGATATTTGTAATAAAACTTTTACAATGAAATACTCACTAGAGAGACATAAAAAAATGTCCACAAGATAGAAAATATTATTTTTGAAAAATCATATTTTTCAAAATGTAATAGTTACAGTAATCTTAGTTTTAAAAAGAAAACTCAATTGATTGATCATTTAAATTTTGAGCATGGCATGTCAATCAATAAAGACATTTTACAATTTAATAATATTACAGGTATTTATTTAAGTTTTTTCACTAAAATAATATTTGTTTAAGTCACACATTTATTCGTATTTCGAAGTAATAATTATTTCAAATATTAAAAGTAACTAATGTATTCTAGATTCTGAGTAAAGCGATGAATGTATTGATTTTACAATGTTTTTTTTTTTTAATACAATAAAAATGCTTTGATTTTCTTCATCATCTTTTCTGATAAGAAAGTGAATCAAGTTGGTACTTTTGGGTGGTCAAAAGCAAAACAATTTTAAGCAAAAACCTCTCCAATCAGAATCGTTTGTTGTATAGGTACAATGATATTATATCATTGAATTCAAATTTAATTGACTTTGAATTAAATTAGATGAAAAATTATTATTTTTAGAATTTTATAACTGGAAAATTATGCACGAATTAGAAGAAAAATATTGTACCTACCATTGACTAAATGTACCAAATTATATAACTCAGTTTAAATATACTAAATTTGCAAATTGCAATATTAAATATTAATAATTATTAATTAATGTTCAATAGGTATAATATCACTGAGACACAATAAAATAATATATATTATTATTTATTGTTATTATAGTTAGCTCTTATCAGTTACTAATATCTGCGTTGTGCGGACGATACTGTATTGCTCATGCGCACCATGAGCCGTGTATTCCTGTATTTAAACGCTCCTTGAATCTGATTTACTCTACCATTCTCAAGGAAGTTATACGCTTCAAAAATGTTTACGCGTTCTGCAAGAAGGTTATTAGATAAAACCAGAGGTTTATGTTTTGTAAGGACCGTGGTATAGATTTCAGTGTTTGGTTGTCTAGGGGATACACCAACCATCTTTTTGGGATTTCTGTTTTTATGGGGATTCTCACTTGTCCAACCACTGGACGGAAAAATAAAGCTTTCCAACACTTCTATTGCCGTTGAAAACTAAACTTTCGTCGTGACAAAAAATATTTTATTACTATCTTCGTCGTATACCGTAATACGTATACGTATTAATTCGTTGATGTATTCTATTAAAAAAAAATTAATTTTGTTCATATTTCATTATTATACTATAACACTGTGTAGATTCTAGATTATATATAATAAACCATTATTAGTTTAGTATCATGACAAATAAACATATACATACAACTAAAGATACAAGCTGGCCAGAGGTCATGGACAACCACCTCGGTTTCCTGCTCCGAATTTTTGGAATTCAAATCATATTAAAATACCGTAGTGCACTAATGTTGGTATAGATGATAGATATATTTCATACAGAACCGGTATCTATACTATAGAATATATATAGGCATCGTTTCGTTTCCAGTTGCACCCGTCTTTCCTTTCACTCTGCATCGTCCTACAGGCTACAAGATAACACTGTGACCATAATAACATTTTAAGTCGTTATCACACTAACCATAAACTCGTTTACCTGACCTCTGATTTACCTAGTATCCCCAAATTCTGAAATTCTTCGAATTGTTAACTTTCTAATCTTCAAACATGTATTCAGAGTGTAAAAGATATTTTGTAAACTGGAAAAATGTAAGCTATAATGTGTATTTTTAATTAAATAATAATAGCTAGAATATTGGTTTACAAGTCTTAGCAGTTTATTAACATAAATTGGATTCTATGGTGGGTTAATGTAGGGTTTTTGACTCGATCAAAAAATAGTGAGAATATGTATATAATATGTTCTTGCTGTTACTCTAAATTTAATTGTATGGTGTAATGATGATATAATAAATCTTACCTGGAAAAATGCCATCCTTCAAAATCGTATTCATTTAAGAACTAGCACTTTCACGATTTAAATCAAGTAATCCTTAGTTTATGTTTATTATTCCAAAAATACTGATGTATATGATGATTTTTTGTTAAATAATTATGATCTTAATTTGAACTCTTGGTTTATTTCGGAGACTGAGATTTCAACTGATATTCTAAGTTCATTAAGAGTACAAACTGGTACAGAACCAGATGAAATGTCTCCATCATTTTTAAAAGCTTGTAAATAATCATTAATTATACCTTTATTATTGTTATTTAATTTTTTCACTTACTAATGGTAATTTTCCGATATTTGGAAAACATAATTTATTACATCAATTTATAAATCTGGAGACAGAAGTAATATATGTAACTATCGTTCTATTTCTAAATATTCGATTATCCCTAAATTATTTGAGGCAATCATTACAAATAATTAACAACGCTATTACCTAATTACATAAACCCAAACCAACATGGTTTTTTACCAGGGCATTCCATTCTAACGAATCTTTTAACCCATCAAACATATCTTTTATAATCGTATATGATCGAAATTGTCAAGTTGATACAATATATGTAGACTTCCAAAAGGTCTTCGATAAGGTTAACCAAGGTATTTTATTAAATAAGTTAAAGGCATTTGATGTTAATGGTTCATTTTGGTCATGGATCACTTCCTACCTACAAAACCCGTTCCCAAACAGTTAAACTTTCATCTCTTGTTTCTAATGATTTCCATGTATCGTCTGCCGGTGTTCTTCAAGGTTCACATTTAATGCCTTTGTTTTTTCTAATTTTTATTTATGATTTGACACTAGGATCTAATAACTTTATAACATTTTAACTTTTTCAGATGATACTAAATTATTTTGTACAGCTCAATCATCATCGGACTCTGAGATACTACAGGATCACTTAAAAAATTATGTGCTTGGAACAAATTAGAACATTGACAAATGCAAAATTATTTCATATACCCATTCTAAAAACCCAATTATGTTAATTTATAAACTTTATAATAATGAATTAAGCAGAGTATCATTAATTAAAGATGCATGTATACATTAAGATTCGGACCTTTCATTTAAGATCAACCATAAAATAATTTTGAATAAATCGCATTGAACCCTAGGCTATATTAATAGGAATACCAAAAATGTTAAACAGATATTAAGCTTAAAATCGTTATATTGTTCGCTCGTCCGATCTACAGTAGAATTTGGATCCATAATTTGGTCTCAGAACTTGTCTACATACTTACAACTGTTACAACATTACAAGATATTGAATTAGCCCAATATAGATTGTTTAAAAGAATTGCTGTCACTAATACTCCTATATCTAGTCATTCTTGGCTGTCAATTGTTAATTGGTTTGAAGTCTATAGAAGTAAGAAGACAGCTCTCTGTTATTTTATTTATAAATGATCTATTAAATGCAATGCTTTTGTTGAATGTCCAAATTTACGATCTTATAGAAAGGTTAGGAAAACTATTTCAGAACAAATTATTTATTTTTCATTTCTTTCTATTGAAAAATGTATTGAGCCTTTTTAAAAAACTATCCACAGCTATAGATTGTTTTGGTTCTAGTCGTGTTATGTTTAAGTCTGATGTTATTTCGATATTAAGAAGCATAACTGATGTATACAATATTTATAATATAGTTAATATACTTAATTATTCACTTTAATTTGTACTTTGTAAAATTAATGATAGTCATCATATTTAAGTTACGTTTATCCTTACTTGTAAAATTGACAATTGTAATTTAATCAGTTATCAGAAAAACTCATGCATAAATTGTTATAAGCAATATTATGTCTAATGTATACTTAAATACATACAATAATAAACCCAGTAATTCATACAACAAAATATAGATGTATTTTTGATTGTTTCAATAAACACTGCTTTAAAATGTTACAAAGTAGGTACACATTTTTTATGAAGTTAGTGTCTATTTTATTATATAATATTAAATCTAATTAAAATATGAGTAAAGTATATTGTTTTATATCATATGTAATAGTAACTAATTTGGGCTTATCCAATTAATACCTAAGTAATACCTTACTAATAATCAAAGCAAATTATTTAAATTTTAGAGAAAATAATATATAAAATAATAAAATAGTTATACATTAAATTATATTTTTACTGCACTACCTACTCTGTTTCTCTAAAGTAGGTACAGATTAAATAGTAGGTACATAAACTATAAATGTCTATAATTAATATAGCCTATTTAGTTTAATTAGGTAATACATTTTATAGGTGCATTTGTTTGTATTAATTAATAATATAACAAATAATATTTTTTAAGTATATTCTGTAAGTAATAGTATTAAAAATAAAAATATTAGTGAATATTATACTAAATAATAATTTATGATATTAATTTGTACATCAGAAAATTCACTAATGACATTTTATTATGCTATATATACTTCTCAACACCTTTGGTCTTTAGATAACTTAATGATTGTACGTCGTTACCAATTCCCTTTATACCCCTTCGATAGTGGAATTTTACTCATATCGTATGAAACAACTTCATTACTTAATTAAAGATCAGTTACATAACTTATACAAGGTACAACCATAATAATAATTATTAAACATTTCTTTTGTTAGTTTAGTTATTTCTTTCTTACAATTATTCAATGTTCAATGCAATAATGCAATAAAAATGATGACAATTTATAAAAATAGTTGTTCTTAAAAATCGATTATTTAGTAGCTGCCAAAGTGCCAATTTGTTAATATGTTTATCAGCATTTGGCATATCAGCATTCTATTTTAATTCATCCATTGTTTAAACATTCGTTAAAAATCGATGAAATTCTTGGGTTTTTGGCAAGTTACTGTATTCTGTACACTAAATAGTACCTATTGTGTCGTATTCACGTAGGCATACGTAGGTATTCACTTAACTAAAAACAAATTAATAAATGTATAGCGACTTGCAAATATTTTTTTTTAAATCTGATTTTGTTTAAAATCTGTACAAAATTAAGAGTTTACAAAGTATCAATAATTCATAAATCACAGTTTAAGAGGTTTTAATTAAATTATTTGTTGTAACTTATACGTAGGTAACATTGTAACAACTAACCAGTAATAATAACGTATACTATTATCAGCTATTAAATATAATCCACGATAAATGCTATACATACTGATGTATATAAATGCAAATATACAGCTGCAGAGTGTGGATGTTGTACAATGTTTAGCTTGGGCAATAGCCTTGTGAAAACATTACAGTCTCCATGAAGTGGTTCTAAAACGAATAAAAAGATATTTTACTGATTAGTGATAATTACTGTAACTGCATAAATGCATAATAATAATGATGCATATTGAAGGAATATCATGAACTCGTGAACCATGCCACACTTCACTAATTTTTCTTTTTTTTGAGCTGGCGTTTATCAGAAATTATCACTAATTACCTACGAGTGTATCTCACCAGTTACAAAACATTACAAACATCTCCACAATTGTACGTAATTATTATTAATATATGGATAATATTATGCTTATTTACATTGTAGGTACAATACATTTTTACGGTGTAGGTTTGATTTATAGAAAAACAAAAATATCTGTTCCGATTTCAACCCGCTTGTTACAAAAAACATACATTTAAATTCCTAATTTTATCTAGATCAAATTTTATTTGTACATAGCTCAAAAAAAAATCATTATCAAAATGCCATTTTATACACACATACTTAGTGCATGTATCAATATATCTGTTTCAGTTTCTAAACCGTATGTCATATGCGCTGCTCTGTATTTTTTTGACGAACGTTTCTGGTAATAAACTGAAACAAAATTTCAAGGATGTATGTCATCGTAACCTGAAAATAACTCGTATTTTATTGTTTTGGACCAGTGGTTACCTGCAAACTGTAAGGCATGGACAGGGGCGGCTCCAGAGACATAGGGGGGAGAGCTAAGTCATAATTTTCAGAAAACTTTCGATATTATAGCATGTTTTTTTGTTATTTTGATTTAAAAAATATTCAATTTTTTAGAAATACAGGCTTAGGAGAGGCCGCGCCCCCTAGCCCTCCTGGAACCGCTCCTGTGCATGGAGTAAAAATGTGTACCAACACTATTATTTGCAAAAATGTTCAAATTGTATGTTATTGATACTTTGGTGTGTCAAATATATAAATTAAAATTGTTTTATCATACCGCCCTTTCCAAAAAAAAGTTACATATGTACAAATAAATAAACGTAATTCCTTGCAGGTTAAGGTATAAAGGTATGCAATACATTTTAAATGATACTATACTGATTTATTATTTATGAACTATGTTTAAATAAATGATAACCTACTACGGATTGTTAAATAATTTTTAAAAAATAACGAAGGTTTCACAAAATAATTGATTATAACGGCAACAAAGATTGTTGTGAAAAAAAGAAAAACAATGAAAGCATTCGTCAATAGACAATAATATTGCAATCGCCAGGGCCGAAAATATTTTAAAAATAGATTTCGCCAGTCAATCAAGTACTCATAATCAACTTGGCTATATATTATCATTTATTAAAAGTAACAATATCGTTTTTGTCTAAAATTGTAAAATAAAGATAAATTGGTAACATAAATGATAAAGTTTAATTCCGGGACAATCAGTGGTGCCGAGCAATTAATTGGTCTGTACCAGTTTTCATTAGCGTCTCGGTGTCCTAATGGGCATATACCGGTTATCCTCAAAATCACCTTTTTTAATTCAAATTTCAAAATTTGAAGGTACAGTCTATGCCAAACCCGGACATATGACTATACTCCACTTACGGGGACTTATTGATTTCGTCAGTTCAATATAACTGCTTTGGAAAAAGGATTATATATTGTTTCTACCGGCTACTGTTTATAATATCTACATATCGATTCTACTGGATTTTTATCCCGCCAGATACTGTTCATATTATTAACTATTAAGTACTTAATGATTGATTCCACGGACTTAAATATTTTTAAATATGAAGAAAAAAATTGAAAACTTGGTGACAAATATTAATATTCAGTGATTTTTTATGGTGAACGATTAATCAATCATTATATTTTAAAAACTATTAATGCTTATGAAAATATTAATTTTTTTAAATTGGAAGTAGTAAAAAAATAAAATTATCTAAAACAAATTCATTTTTTAATATTTTTATTCTTATTATTATTTTTTTATTGTGTTTATTCAAAAATTAGGGTTAGGTAGAATCAATAAGTACTTACTATGAACACTACAATATGGAATCAATAGTGGAATCAATATTTTATGTATATTATAAACACAGCCGGTGGAGTCAATATATCCCGCATAATATGTAGCGTAATTAATAGTTTAATAACAAATGTTAAATAGTAAATACTTATAGATAAATAACAAAAAGTAAAATGAAATAAACAGCAACTCTCAAAATTATAAATACTAATAAATTTATTAGATGTATGCAATACAAAAATGTAGCAATTGACTATTTAAAATTGTTGCTAATGCCCTCTAATATTTTAACAATGGAAATACCAAATAATATACATAAATACTAAATATTTTCTACCAACTACAAAATGATATAGCGTAGTCGCTAATAACTAAAAGATAAAATTCAAAATAGTATTCAGATTTCAGAAGTACAGTTTCAAGTATAAAATATAGCAAATGTCTATGACAAATTTAATTGCAGATATTTGCATTAATATAGTTAAAAATTGTATGATACCTACGAGTATAATATTATAATAATAATTGATGCATTAGGTGCCCTATATACAATGTTAATACATAATAATTTGTTTACCTAAACATGATTAGATATCTATTATTATCGTCTCTGTTGTGTGCTCTACGTAAGCGCAAAGCGCTTATAATATTATTTAAGTGCATATGATAAAAATATAATACAATATAATTTTGCAACAGTCTATAATAATATTTCGTGTGATAGTGATGTGGTGTATTGGTGGATGTTTATAAATAACTACATTATCGTATTACTTTAAACTGGGATATATCAATAATATATTAAGTCTCACTGTTTTTTAGGTGTTTTTATCATAATCGGACATATTTCGTACATTTCAATTTCAATATTTTCTGACGTGGCATTTTTTGTTTCCTAAATTCCTATATAGTTAGCAGCTATAAAAAAAACACACGTGTGTTGAGTATTTTAAATCTGTATTAATATACAGATATTGTAGTAAAACTGTACTATAGTGTTGTATGATACACTATAGGTATATGATATAGAATTCTGCGTCTATTATGAGATGGAACAAATTTAATTATTCGGCGCCATAAAATCGGTTCTGAACCGGAATATAAACGCTTATCGTTTCAGTTATCGGCAAAAGTCAAGTGCATATAATTCACTAGGTATATTATATGGAACCCTAAAAAAATAGCTTAAATAGGTATAGTTAACAAAATTGATAAGGTATTAAAACTTCAAAGACGATTTAAACGAGTATAGTATCGATTAAAAACTAAATTTATAGGGTCAACCAATATCTGATACAGAAAGAAAAATGAAAAAAATAATGTCTTTAATGTTTATCATCGTGGAGAAATTATAATGATGTCTCGTTTCTATACAAAGTACAAACGAGTAAAATAGTGAGCCTGAACTGTTGAACACAATTAGTTTTAGAATACCACAAATACCCATTCTACTATAACATTTGTTATTAATTGTTAACTTGAATTCGTTATTTTGTTATATATAGCCCTATGAACAATATATTAAGATTTAGTAGATATATAAATATTATTAACCTTTTAAAACATTATGAATGCATTGTTGAATGCGTTGTTAAATTGTTTATATCATTGTGTATATAACTAAAATTGTACTTTCTGCCCCTTGGGCGTTGAAAATTATAAAAAATTAAAATATATCAATCAGTTATGACTTATGAGTTACTGGTACCTAGCTTAATACCTATATAAGCAGAGAATAATTTACACATATACGCACGCGGTACACGAGCACATGCCCCCCGAATTTCTAAGACCCCTCTTGGCTATTACAACTCTATACCAAAAAAGTGTATAGATACTTAAACTGAGGTAATCATATTATAAAAACTCACATGCGCTCTTCTTTCATACAAAAGACTGGATTCATTTACATAATTTTAAATCGATCATGATGTTACAAAAAAAATATCAACGTTTAAAGATATTATTGCTGAATTTGCAAATACAAGAAAAAATGCAGAATATTGTAATTAACTTTGATCAAATCGTTAGGATTTAAGGATTAAACTTGTATTTTGTAGTCAGCTATCTTCACTTTTGAAGTTTGCCTGTTTTTAATTTTTACCAATATTTTTGATTAAAAAGCGCTCCAAAGTAAATAGTTCACAGGGCCTCTATTCCTTTCAATCAGCCGCTGTAAATAGTACAGGACGTTGACAGAGATAATCAAAGAAATAATTCTGAAAACGAAAGTAATTGTTTTTGAATTTGTAGTAGGTAATATTGAAATATTATGCAAATACATCAATAAATTTTAGTTTATTTGTTCATATATATATCGAAGTATAATTTGCTGCAACACACTGAACACTGGACGGTTTTTATTTTTAAAATGTATTTCTTTGTTTTTACATAACATATACAAGATTATTTTTAAGCAAATAGGAAGTTCTTAAAAATTATTTTCTTTAAGTAATCTAGAACTTGAGCCCCCCCCCCCAAATAAATTTATCAAGCTCCGCCTATGGACTCTGTACTAAGTATAAAATCACTACAGGTTGCACTTATCATAGAAATTGCAGCTCGTGTGATGAACACGTTCCTCTGTAATCGGTCAGAGACCAGACCAGAATTATTAAGAATACAATGTCATAGCCATTTCGTATACATACCTATTTCTATAAGTATTAAATTACAGTCTTACAAAACATATATACTTTGTAGCCACGTGGTCTCGTGCGATGGTCATGACATAGGTAGGTATAGCTGCAAAGCTCCGTCACATGTCGAATGAAATATTTAATTTCGTAACACAAAAAAATATGCTTGTTGCGTACTTGCATGGGTACCATTACCCAACGACGTGATTTCGAAACGGGCATAGGAACCGTATCCGTGTGCGACAGGAACCCCTGTACAGCCGTCGCAGTGCGTACTGCGTATTGCGTAGGTAGAATGATACTATATAATGGTATGGCGTTATATTATTACTATTATCTTTATTGTTACTTTAAATATTGTCATAAAAGAATTAAATTCATACGAAACATTAGGTAGGCGGTAGGTATATACCTATCTGCTCCGATACGACAAAAATGAGTGTTTTTATAATATATATCATGCCGATCCTTTCTACCCCTCCACTGACCATAAATTATCGAAGAACAAACCAACTAAAATGCTGTGTGCATTCCGCATTTCTGTATAATATAATACCTCTGCATTCTGCAGTATGCCCAAACATCGTTTTTTGTAATTTCTTTCAATTCTATTGCATTTACTACCAGTAGGTTAGTCTGATCGTTGATGAGTATATAATATTATGTTATATTGTTATATCAATTTATTGACGTAAATATGTAACTGTTACATACATTTGATTTCATAGCTGCGTACACCGTACGAGTTGGTACTTAGATACTACTATCGTCTATCATCATTATTCATAAGTTATGAATTGTAATATAGTTTTCCGATATTTTCCAAACACACATTCTGATATTAAAGTAGTCAGATATGACTGATGACTATTTCATACATATTATTATTGATCCTGATGAATTACGATACAAATAATGAGTGTAACGTGTACCGCAGTAAATTTAAACAAAATACTATTTATTTTAATCAACAAGTCGCGTGAACCAACGAGTGCAGACGGGACTACGGGAGAGTCAATAGTCTACCTGTAGGGCGGCCGGGCGAGTAGCGCGCGCATCCCACCGATGTCCGTCCAATCCCGAGACGTGGTACCGATCAGCTAACGCGCGACGTCATCGATTATGCCGCCGTGTCGCCGCCGAACCGGTTTCAGTGTTGCCGCCGTCGCCGGAGTACGGGAGTCGGCAAACGCACGCCACCAGTGGAGCACCTTCAGCCTGCATCGGTCAAGCAGCCACCTCCAAGTGCAACGAAGAACCGGTATTACATCAAATTGTAATAATAATTATATAATATGATATAAAATTATTGTTAGTGTTTACATTATTATCATAATAATATCGCCGTCCTCGTGCGTTACGCCGGTCGTTCATCTGTTTACTATTCAGTATTCAGTATTCCGTCGCGCACCTGTAGACGTACACTCGCGGACTTGGACTAGACAGATACATCCATATACCATATGTGATAAATCATAAGAAGGTAAACAAATATTTGAAAATTAATATCTTTTATTTTTTTTTTTTATATATACCCCTCAACTGCTAAGGTTATTGGCATTTCTGGAGTACAATACATATTTTTAAAGATTTATACTAAATATTTTAGTATGATACATGAATGGCTTAAGTTAATTTAATTACATGTGATTAATCTATGGACTATGACTATATGTCATATATTTTGGATTCGGTTCTTCTCTTTGAGTAATTGTTAAAGAATCTATAACACCTTTCATTATTTTAACTGTTATGTACACAATAATATTTTAAACATTATCTACGTGTTCCAAAAGTCCCATGTCGCTCCCCGAATATAATATCTCTTTATCTCTACAGTATTTATATGTTCAAATGTTGTTTTTTCGACAGTTTCCTGTGATAATTTAAATTTAACGGCATACATTTGTTAAGAATTACTCAATTACTGTTGAGAAAACCATTTGTATGGCGATAAGGAACTTTTGATTCGTATTGTATTCAGTATTATATACACTATAAATTATATAAAACCTATTTTAAAATTGTAACAATAATACAATTCACAGCTCGTATTGAGAATAGTAGATATACATTTAAATATATTTATCTATTCTATAAATAATAAGAATATGTGACGAATTCGGTGCTTAAATGAAACGCGCGAGTGTATAGATGATGATAATAATGATTATAAATGATAATAGTAAAATACTAAATAGTAAATAGTAATAATGCTCGCTTGGTGGTGGTGGCGGTGGCAGATTTCGGGCAAGACGCTGCGCCACAGAACAGGCGCGAAATTATTTTTAGCATTCGGAGTACGACTTACTGTGTCATATACCTACCACGCCACCGCACTGCTCTCGGCAGGCATAATAATATATTGTTGTGCTAGCGTATAATATTATTATGTCCACGATGCGCGCGCACGGAGATTTTCGAAACACCGCGAGAATATGTGTTTAAAATACCTACGTCTCTGTCAAAACATTAATATTATATTCGTGCTCTTAAAACCTCCAATAACGATTTATTGTAATTTTTATCGGTGTTATTAATATTGTCGTCTACCGTCGCGGTGAAATCACTGTGTAAATTGCTCTCCCGATCCGAAGTCTAACGTAGTCGCCGTCGTCTCGTCCGTCCCGTGTGCTTTTTTACTTGCGAAATATTCAAATGTTTTCTCGCGCGAAAGACGGAATGTATAAACAACCAAACTACCGTACCTACTACCTACCACCTTTAATTGATGCATTATCGCCAAAAAAAAAAAAAAATGACTTCCTATAAAAAGTTCGTATTAATTACGCAAAACAATCCGATTACTGTGTGAGCATAAAATTATCTTATATTGTGTACCAACTAACCAGTTTAAACATATTATGATGAACAGACATAATTATACGTGATATTAGGTGTTACCTATGACTCGTAGCTCGCGTAATTTAACGGGTAGCTTGATCATAACTGTATTTAAAATAATTACAATATCATTAAATGCTGTTCTTTTTTTTCATACAGTATATTATTATATAGTATATATTACTCAGTACATGATAGTCATTATTCGTTATACGGTGGTGATGGTAACTGTTAATAATGTTGATTTTCGAAGGTAATTTGCTATACCTTATATTTCTTAAACAGTTTCGATTATGAATAATTTGACTATCGTTTCCTTAATCCTTTGGATTTTGAATTGTTTTCCATAAATATTTGCAAACTTACGAAAAACTTCATTAATGCAGGTTTTCTCTTGTTTTTAAATTATCGCGGGACGAATAATAATCTTTTTAATAAGCATGCGTGTGTTTTTTTTATTACTGTTATCAATAGACTATGAAGCTTATCTGTCAGGATGACAAGATCAACAAGCTACAAAAAAATTAATTAACAACATACTTTACACAGTCCAATCGCTATTCGCTAATTGTATTTAATAAATTATCTACAAATGGAATTCCTGTATAGTTATAGGTACAAATTATTAATTTAACTATCAATGTATAATTTATTATAATACTGGACGTGGTAATTATCCAAAAGATAATATAAATTATCATTTAACTATATTTTGTTTCATTCACTCCGAGATAATGGTACTTATTTTTAATGAATTTCCGAGTCATAAAATTAAAATTAAAATCTATTTAATGGAATACAGCTTATAAACTCAGTCCTCACCGTATTACGAAAATTTATCAGAAATCCTAAATATAAATCAAAACGTATTAGTTAATGAAAAACCTACAAATATTTAAACAATTAAGTGCTCAACAGCTTGTATTTTACCAAACGTTTCACTGTTATTGTCTTTGTAGTTTGTATATTATATTATTTTATTGATTATTCAAACATTTTTGAACAATGAATACACCTTCTTTTATATATTATATTATTAAATCAATATATATATAGTGACAACTGTGAACTGACAACGAAAGAACTATAGTCTATGTTTTTTTTTTTATTATTATTTCAACTATAGTTTATGTTAGGCCTATAACATATATTGTCTGTCCTATATTTTATAATTTTGAATCGTAGGACGAATAATTTGTTAATAAATGTAGTGAAAAATTTAATTTTTATTAGGTACCTAGTAATGTAGTATTAACTATTTATCATTTATAACCGATATTTTCTTTATCTTAATATTCTATATCAGGTGTCTTCAACCCGCGGCCTGTCTCGCCTTTATTTGAGTCTCGAGAGACATGAGCATAGGATGTATTTTTTAATACTTTTTTAATAATTTATTAATACATGTTTGTATTACAATTGTGCATGCGGTCTGCTAGGTTTAAAAAAAATATTAGGTGGCTCGCTACCTAAAAAGGTTAGAAGAACCCTGTTCTACACTAACAGTACAGCCACGGAGTTGAACATCTTCAAGATCCTTTGTTTTTGTTTTTTATACGTGTGATTTCTAAGGTATGGCAAGTACAAAAATCTATGCATTTATATTATAGTTTTAAATATAAAAAAACAATAGGTATTTAATAGATTGCTATCATCACATTTCATGTAAATATTAAAGGTATAGATAGTTGAACATTATAATTAATTGCATGTACGATGTACCTAGGTATATCTTATGTTTGCTATAAAAATCAATCAAATTAATATATTTAGAACAATTCCCAAACCCTAAGAGTTTGATAAGAAAATCTTTAAAATTAAGAATTGAAAATCGTTGGATAAAGTATAACCCGTGACCATGTGAGGTTATGAAATCATATGGTGGAATATATTGATATGTTTCATCTATATGATTGTAGTCATGCTGATTTACCAACACATCATAGTTACACATGCATTATCTAAGTGATAGCTTTTTATTTATTTTAATTTTTAATCCCCACGCCAGGAGTGTCCCACTCACCAACGACTTCTCCGCCATATCTTCTGGCTGTAACTTTTTAAAACACTCAAACTTGTTATACAATAATTCAAAGTATGTATTGATTGTTTAAATCAAATAAAGCACAAAACGAATTGTTTAATCACATAAACTTATACTAAACCATAAAACCACTTTTTCGTCTTAGCAAATAATGAATATGAAATAGGAAGTTTTTAAGATTTTTCAAATATATATATATATATATTTGGTAAGTAAATAAAAATTAATATATATCCCACACATCATTATATTTTTTTGTTTTTTATTAGATTGAAATTGTACTATAGTACCTATTATATTTAATTAGTATTTTATCATTTTACTAGTTCTGTGAGAATTTAAATTGATGTGCTTAGATAAATTATCTATAGGTACTTTTAATATGATTTCCGCAATCGTATATCTATTTACTGTCAACATTTGTTTACAACCGTTATCAATGTATGTAAATATCTATTAACATATAATATGATATTCGATGTAATATTTATCTGTTTGGTAAAAATAATCAAATACCATTTATACAATATAAATTATAGGTATTAAAAATCAATATTTATTAAATAAATGGAAATTCATAATTTAGTTTTCTGATAATTTTACAGTAAATAATAAATTGTATTACTTTTAACTGCACGGAAACTCCTCCCATAGATGTTGAATTAGATGAAGGTCTTTTTTATAATGCATATGATAATAATTCATAAATTGTCCACGTTTTGCCACAACCCACATTCAAATTTGAAGTGTTTGCTTCCGTAGAAATTTAAATCTCAATTTAAAATTTGCAACTCAGTGTTACTGTTAGTGTTATAATGACATTAGAGATTTCCGTCTATGTGAAATAATATTATTATTGTAAAATATATCCCCTGAAAACATTAATGGCTTTTCACAGTTTGTCAATTCTACATGTATGTTAACCACTCTACTGGTCATGGCAATTTTTCAAACCTATTTTTTGATTATTTACTTAATACTATACTTGTTTTTTTTTTTGTAATTGAAAAGTTATTTTACTTCTTAATTTGTTTGAATTAAATTCGACACTGCAGGAGATAGTTTTTAAATTTAAATAATTAACTACCTACTCAAAATGTTAAAGTAGGTACTTGTACTCCATTATATCAAAACACACAATGACATGATGTACGGTACAACTAAATATTATCAGCTAAACGCCTAACATCACACTTACACTAACTCTCAAAAGTCAATAAAATAATCTAATTATAAGAGTATGAACTTCGAGGTCAACAGCTTACAATTGAAAATTACAAGAAGCATCCATCACTCAAAGTTTTGGTTTACAAATTGCAGTTGGCCGTTGCAATTGGCTCACTTAATATTTACATTTCAACATTGCACTTGATTAGGTATCTTAAACGCATTTAATATTATAAATTATATAATACTTTTAAAGTACCTAAATTGTATCTTGAATAAAAAAATTAATACAAATAGGTAACAATCCTGGTAAATCATTTAAATGATGTTTAAACATTTTAAATGTACCTATCTGTGCATAAGCTTTAATGAGTGTTCAATAATGCGCGTACATATGCTTGCAGCTGCGTAGACTTGCACGCAACCATGTGGAGCGTACACCATTCTATCATTAGGTACCAGGTACCTACGTATAATTCACTTTAAAAATAATTTTTTTTCAAACATTTAATAGGTATGTGATTTGTCATATATGTTACACTAATTTAAATAAATGGTTGATGCCTTTTATGAAATCATGGACATTTCAGTGGGGGAATGTAATATAAAGTGTATATTTTTAATTGTATACTGATAACTGATTAAACAACTCCAACTACCTTACTGTCATAAATCCAACACAAAATGAACATTAACTTAACATACGATTAATGGTCTCTTGCTATCTAATATCAAGTTAGGTGTACAATACGATAATTAATGAAATGTAGGGATCAATATACATAATGTAGGGAATGATGGGTAGGGTATTATGAAACTACCAAATTCCAATGCTAATGTATAGATTTATTTCAAAATCGAATATCATCTAAAACTGGTATATTTCTTAGGCTGATTTACGAGAGTTTAGATATATTTTCTTTATTCAAGTATGCTATGAAAATAAATTATCACCAAACGTCTTCTTTTTGACATTTTGTATAAGTGATAATTATAATAAACTGCACAAGCTTCACAGAAATATAATAGCCACATAATATGTATACACTATACTATGAAATCAACGCAACTTCTATAGACTATAGTTATTTAAAATTTCCCCCAAGATCTCTAAAAGTAGTATCATATTAATTATATTCCTTCAACTAAATTATTTTTTAAATACTTCGAATTAAATTCCGGAATTTTGTAAATGGTATTGGTTTTTTTCAATATCGTTATTTCATGAATGTATGTCTCAATTTTTAAATATTTTTTATTTATCTTATAAGTATCCAAGTAATTCAACACATTTATATTAATTAATAAGCAACAGATTTATGTACAGATTGTTTATATTTTTTCAATAAAAAAAACATATTTTATTTAAGAAAGATAATTATAAAATTGTGAAGAGGTAATCTTTCATAGTAAGATTGTTTGTTTTCATATTTTATTATTGGTACCTACTACATATAAATAAACGAAAAAAAAAATGGAACACAATATTAGGGGTATAATATTATATTGGTTTTTGCAGTGAGCTTATTGGCTATTGTTATCCAATTAGTACTTCACACCTTTATTATTCACTTTATTAAGTAGTTATGTGAATCCTAAATAGAATAATCATTTTATCGACGCTGTGTTCTCTGCAGTTTGCGATGATTGTGATGACAATATAAATTATATTGTATAATATATTGGTCAGTAATTAAACATCAAACACAGTGGTCAAAAGTCTATGACATGCAGCCTTCTATATAGTTCAATTAACTTATTGCAGATATCATCGAGAGTTAACGAGTAATTTAATAACAATAAGTTAGTTACCTAATAACAAGAAACGTTTTCTAATAACAAACGTGAACATAAAACAGGAGTATAATATTGTATGTGTATCATGTAGTTGCGTGTTGCATTTAATAGGTGCTTTCTTTAATCGATTCCACACATTTCTTTATTTAGTATTATTATTTTCTTTTGTACCCTCTAATAAAAATAATTCGTATTAATTATTTTCATTGTAATTAATCTTTTACTAGAGAGCACACCTGCTGATTTTCACGAAAAAAAATATAATTTATAATATAGCTTTCTCGCTTTTTTTGTATATTATTATTTTAATGATCTGGATTTTTATTATTAATTTGATTCAAACAACTTATATGTCTGATTTTAACTACATTTTATTTTTTAATACTTCGATGGAATACTTGGATATATATTTTTAAAATAAATTAACATATCACCATTCATATTTGAAATATTTATAATATAATCCATTGAACTACGTCATAAGAACATTGACTCAATTTTGAATATTAAATAATTACAGAGACAAAATTGGTTACTGTAATGTTGACAAAAAGTAACATCATAATACATAGAATACTTATGTCAAGTACAAAATGACTAAAACAAAAATTTGAAAATTTGTTAACAGTTTAATATATTGTTGTGATCAAATTATGACATCGAGATAAACGGTCTTGAGGAACAGAAATCATGTCCGGCACAACGGATAGCGGAGTCACCGGGGCTCATAACGTACAGCCGACGATCACAGAATGTAAACTTTACAAAAGACGATGGCTTATGTTGGTGCTATTTGTCCTGTGTTCGATGATCAACGCTGTACAATGGATACAGTACAGCATTATTTCAAACGTGGTTATTAAATTTTATGATGTATCAAGTTTTGCTGTGGATTTCACATCCATCGTATATATGGTCACCTACATACCACTGATATTCCCGGCGTCGTGGATATTAGAAAAGATGGTAAATATTATAATCCATATTCCATACGACTATACCTATTTTAAGCCTAATTGACAACATAAATATATATATAAATAGGTTAAATTTAATATGTATAAATAATAATGAGTACACTTACTTACAACGCTTCAGTCACCAAAAAAAAAAATAAATAACGAAAAATCCAGACAACGTATAGAGTCCTAGAGTTTGCCTGGCTATTCTCCACCTTGGATCAATTTTAATGGTCTATAATATTTATACATATCCGAATAATATGTTTTTTTTATGAAATTAAATGTTTTAGGATTCATAAATAAATATTTTTATAAATACCTTTATCTATATTAATTGTTTGTGTAAATCATATTACTCAACACTCGATTTTCAAATAGTGACCTATTTGTTCTTGTTCACATAGTAGAATTAAAAAAATTATTTAATAATTTTGTTCTTCCTTAATTATAGTATTGTACACACATAATAGGTACTCATTAAAGTAAATAACTTAATAACAATAATACAATTTAAAACAATTAGGCGCGCAAAGTTCTTAGGCATAAGACCTCAAAAAGTATTACATATATAGTTAGCTTACGTATATTCTTTAGGAATATAAATTATAATATATATTGCACATTTCATACTTCTTTTTTTAAATGTATAAATGTACTGATTAAAAAATGAGCAGCTGCTAGAGCTGTTGTTCATTGGTACAATATTATATTATAGCATAAATGATGTATTTAATATATTAGTTATAGATTATACATAAATGTGATTAACTCCTTAAACATAAACAGTAAACACCCCTTAAAAAAGTCTGGTTTTGGATCTCGGGTCTGGTAAAACGTTATTTTCTTTTTTGTGTTTTTTCTTTTTATTGACATAACATGCAGTTTTGAATGCGTCTTGACTCCCTGATGGTTGATGTAATTAATTGTCTATGCATACTATTATTATGTCCGTATTATATATTTATATAGGGTCTTCGCGTGGCTATGGTAGCCGGCTCGTTCGGCACGATGCTCGGTGCCTGGTTTAAAGTTGCTTCTTCCAGTCCAGACAGATTTTATATGACAATGTTAGGTCAAACGATTGCGGCTAGTTCGCAAGTTTTCATTTTGAACCTGCCGGCTCGCCTGGCAGCAGTGTGGTTTGGCCCGTCTGAAGTGTCTACGGCGTGTTCAATCGGAGTGTTTGGAAATCAGGTAAACCTCTATGTACTGTAGGTACTATATTAAGTAAAGCTAGTAATTCTTAATTTATTCTGTACCATCTGGTATTATATGGCTGTAAATATATGCAAGTTTTCACACACCGTAATGATTAATTAACAATAGTATATACTAGTAAGTAGTAACGTGTTTTGTTTTTCAGTTCGGTGTAGCTCTCGGCTTCTTGTTGCCACCGCTACTAGTTCAAGACAGCGGCGATTTGTACGCTATATCCGCTGGATTGTCACGAATGTTTTACGCCACAGCCATAAGTTCAACACTAGTGTTTATATTAATATATTGCTGTAAGTTTAAAAACAATTGATAACATTTGTGACGTTTATAATAAGTACCTCACAAAATAATATTATTATACTTTTAACTGGTGTGGACAGTGTGGGTTAAATAAATTAAATAATAACATAATGTTTTATCATAAACACATAGTGCATCGAAGAAGAGTGTCAATTATTTATTTATAGTATTTATATTGCTTTGTGCATGTAAAGTTGATTATGATTTTTACAAGTTTTTTCAGGAGTTGTCATGCTGTATAAGTACCTTTTTAGACATCTTGAGCCCAAACAATAATACCATTTTTTGAGTTATAAAAAATAATTTAAAAAAAAAAAACCACTCTTACTAGATACGTCGTTAATTTTCTAAAAATGTGTCCCTCACTACTACACCAGTAGGTTAACACCTCCAGGCTCCAAGCTAGATTACCACTGTATGAATAATATTTGTATTAACGCCAGCACAATATCTCACAATCATATTTTCATCTGTTGACAGTCGTCAAGCCGTCCCCGCCATTACCACCGAGTTTGGCACAAGCGAACCAGAGGTCGACCAGTAGTAACGACCCCAAAAACTTCATTAAGTCTTTGTGGAGACTAGTTTACAACTACGGGTTCCTCTTGTTATTACTGTCATACGGCATGAATGTCGGTTCGTTTTATGCCATTTCCACGCTCTTAAACCAAATTATATTGGAACATTTTCCTGTAAGTATTCAGAACACTTTTATTCGATTTCGCTTAGACGATAATCGTATACACCAATTAATGCTTGCATTCATGTATCTATATGTATACAACAAATAACAATATTATTATCATATTGTAGGATAACGCGGTGGATGTCGGCAGGATAGGTCTCACAATCGTCGTTGCAGGAATGGTGGGTTCAGTGGTGTGTGGTTTTGTTTTGGACAGAACTCATCTTTTCAAGTGAGTGTTGCAAAGATATTTTTATTTTACTTAATATCGCAGTAAAATTATGCTAATGTGAAATATTTTAAACATTTAGAGAAACGACTTTAGTGGTGTATGCTTGTTCGTTGGTCGGCATGATAGTCTACTCGTTCACGTTGTCTTGCGGATATATATCAGTTGTGTACCTATCTGCAATCCTACTTGGGTAGGTACATAAGTGAAAAAAAAATATTGGTCATCATGATATGATTGTTATTTGTTTTAAACAAATCACAAAATATAACTTTGTGTTTATACATTTCCAGGTTTTTTATGAATGGTTATTTAGCAGTCGGATACGAATTAGCTGCTGAACTGACCTATCCGGAGTCCGAAGGAACATCCAGCGGAATGCTAAATGCAGTGGTGCAAATATTCGGCATCGTTTTCACCTTGATTTATGGATGGATAAATAATGCTGCCGGAGACAAGAAAGCCAATTTATTTTTGGCCGCAACTCTCGTCATAGGAACCTTTCTCACTGCCATGATACCATCTGACTTGCGGCGACAAGCAGCTCAAGAAAAGAAATCACTGGTTAATTAATTAATTAATGATAGTTTTATAACCATAAGCAATTTATAATTGGCTCAAGTATTTATAATTTATTATCGCCTCACCAATATATTATAAAGTATTTAAGTATTTTATATTGATATATTTTAAGGATCTGATGATATTCCATATTCGCCTAGAAAGGAATTAAAGTTTAAACCTATTAATATTCCATATTTTAGTAAAATATAAAGTATTTATTTTTCATTACCTATTGAATTTTTTTAATGTTATAATATAACTCCTGTTATTATATTATGCTGTTGTTTATAATTTTAATAATTAAAAATGTATTTCTCATCCAATTTTATTGTGATAATAAAAAATCATTTTTAAATTAAATTATAATTGTATTACCTACAAACTCTATGCTATAGCGGTTGATCATATTCAGACGCCATACTAGGTGTCAGCCGAGTTATTAAAGGACGCAACTCAAAATCCCTAACACACCAAATCTTACACCAGTCATGTCTGCATCAGACAAAAATTTTAACCAAGGTAAATTATACTATAATAGTAAAATATAAATATAAAAAATGTAGTATGAAGTAATTTTAGAGACTCTACAAAAACATCACTTACTAGATACTGTATCTGAATGTCTAAGAAATATTATACAACCAAAAACAACAATAATATTATAATAATAATAATACAATCAATTAATGTTTCACTAATTTGACTGATGAAAAGTCCAAATTTCAACATAACTACCCATTTATCATAATATTCTTCCTATTCCAGAAAATTCAAAATCAATCAATTTGTAATATCTACTGTTAATTTAGAACAAATTGTAGATGGTAAATAAATTATTATTTTCCTATGCTTTTGCATTTAAGAAAATAATTTTTTCCCATTTCTTTATCCTTACCATTTCAATATTATGTATTCATTTATTTCCATAGCAATCATACATAATATACAAAGTACCTAAATATGTACTGTATCGTTATATAAATGATCACTATGATCACTATGATCAACTGATTGGATATTTGTTTACATGTGGACTGTGGTCTATGAATTATGATTTAAAGTCTGAACCTCCGAGAAACATGGAAGTCCGCACATCAAGCCTACTCTACTGTTTTGATTTAATTTTGATTTAACTGGAGAAGGAAAATTTTTTTTAAATGTCTTGTCTTATAAGACTATATCAGTCCATGTGATATATTGGTTAATCATTTTATCATGCAAAATGCAATTAAAAACTAATTTTACAAAAATTGTTATGCTTGTCAACATTTGATGATGAACAAAAAATTACCTTCTATATCCATCAAAAACAGAAATAGAAATAAGTTCTGTAACTAAGTAATTAAGGGAGTACCAACGTCCCTAATATGCTGCGCTGATAGACATAAAAAAAAAATACAAAGAACACCATGAAAGATCTATTAATGAAAAGATAATTCAAAGCATTAATATGTGATACATGTAAGTGATATACATTTAATAATATAACTAATGTATAATATAGGTTTAATGAAACAAATTTTTTTAACATAATATTACAATAATAATAATTCATTTGAATTAATATGACTGGGCCTAAAATGTAATTATGGCCAAGGGCCCAAATAAACTAAAAAATAAGTACCTTGTACCCAAAACAATATGAATAAATTAATTAATTAATGACCCAACACATAATTTACTTAAACCTAATATGGATTATAATTATAATATTGATAAAATAAGTCGATTAATAAAGTAAAACAATGTCATAAAAATGTATTATAAATTAACTTTCTTACTTTAGAAAAAAGCAAATGTGTGAATAATATTGTTATATTTTAATTGGTCAGCAATTTATTTCTATAGATACCTACTTATTTAGATATAGCTAAGTTGGTTTCTTTTTCTCGGGACCAAGTGCTTTTTTACATTTTTTTTTAAAATCAATTTTAGCTTTAAAAATTGAATTTTTAAAATTTGAATTTAGATGCTATCTATCAAAATGTATTATATATTATTCATTGTTCTCCTAATTTCTAGTCACATTCAGTGATAACTGTACAGCCTAATTAGCCTATATGGTATTTTAAATTGCAATTACCAATCAGTTTCATTCACTGATGAATTTTTTGGCCAGTTACATTGTTACAATATTTCATGAACAGTTTACCAAAGTAGATGACCAAGAATTAATTTTTAAATTTAATGCTTACTTGTTCTAAACCAAAAACAGAGTTCTACACATTTCTACTTGTAGTCACAAAACTTGGTTTTTGATTTTTCATATTTTACCATCTTATGTTTGCAAGTACATACTGTAGAAATGAATAGCAAACCAATTCAAAACAGTCACACAAATTTATATTGTAACTTTCATATTTCAAAGAAACAAAATTGGAAAATATAATTTGATATTAGGGGCAAAGAAAATGAGTGATATTTATAAAAAAATATTTTAGCCAGTAGAACCATGTAGCCCACAAATGTATTATAATGACATTCAAATTATTAGCTAGTTAACAATTAGTTATCTAGTAATCCAAAATGCATATTCAATAATATTTTTCTAATTAATTACAAATTACTAAGGATTGACCCGTTTAAATTTTAGAGGGCCCTCGCTATCCTAGTCAGTTATTTTTCAAGAGTTCTTTAATTTGTTTTAAGTTTAAGAGGACTAACTCTTAACACATATCATCAAATTGTTATATTTTCTGAATACAATGTATCTAAATATGGTGATAAAATAAATATAAAAAAAAAAGTTATCAAAATATTAGTGAGGCCACCAATCAAAATGTTTGGCTTTATGGCATTAGCAATTCAAAAGTCGAGGCTAACAACACACTTTATATACTCATATTTGGTCCAGATACATTAAAATAATAAAACTACATTTTGAAATGGCAGTAATTTACGTAGTAAGAATATTATATTTGTTGTTGTTTCATCATCTGACATGAATGCTGGAAAAAAAATAGATTAATTAACTTTGGAGTAGGTATTTAATGATGGTGATTCAGAAATTAGTATTATAAACTGATTATGATCTTATACTAATACAAATTACTTCAACAAATTAATAGACGCACTTTCAGATTATTAATCAGAGGACCACTGATACCACTGATGTTAGTGATTTGAGGAACAAAAATAATTACATATTTTGAAGAATATAGTTTGAATAACCAGAAGGAGAATAGCGCCTCAATTTTGAAATTTAAATGTGGAATTAAACTTTTTATAAATATTATAAAACTATATTTAAAGATGTATCATTTTTGAAATGTTAAAATGAAACAAAAATAACTAAAAAGTGTCCAGAGGTTACACAATGCAACTGGCAAGCTTAAAATTGAAATAGGATCGAATATATTATTAAGTTGAAAAATGTTCTTTCTAACAACATGATTACACTAAGCTGCGAGGAAAATACAAATGTACACCAATACAGAAAAGAAGTTAATAAATATTTTCAAAAACACAACATAATTCAATATTTAAAAGGCATTTCGATAAATATTGCATTAAAATAATTATTTATTATGATGATGTATATTACTTTCAGTCTAATTTTATTCTATGTTCAAATAATCACTTATTTTAGGTTCCTAAAATTTAAATTTAGTGATTAGTTTTATTTAGAATAAATTTCTATGTTTAAAGTTGTCTACTTTTAAGAGTAAGAAAAGACTAAAAGTGCTATTTTATTATCAACTTATATAGGAATAAATTATTTGAATATGCATAAACTATTGTTGAGCTGTAATGTGTTCTGAAATTTACCATCTTAAAATATATTATATAAAATTAATTTTTACTTTTAGGAAAATCCTCAACATATATTTTGAACGAGTATTGAGTATAAAAGCACGAAGGCAAAATACAGTGAATTCCGCTTAATGTGGCCACCGGTTAAAATGGGCATCCGCTTATTGTGGGCAAACATGTCTGGTCCCAATACAAATGTATATTAATGATGTTAGATAAAACCGCGTATTATGGACACTCGATTCGGTTTATGTGGGCAGTTTTCTTTTATCATAGCGTTAGAATATACACATATGTGTTTAAAAAGGACTAATTTAATTGGGTTTCGTCGTATCTATGAGATTTTTTGGCAACTAGGCCATGCCATTGGGTAAGATACATTTTTTTTATACAAATAAGTGTGACATAATAATATAAAAGGTTTAATAATAAAAAATGTCTAGACTAATAAATAATAAGAGTTTCAATTTTAAAGTTGTGTTGTTAAACCTTGTTCAATCCTGTCACCTGGAGGAACACGAATATGTTAGGTGACGGCAGGACTGGTCCAAGTTTATCATATAAGTCACTGGATAAATGTTGTGGTTCCTTGCATCGAGGTATGCAAAACATTTCGTGAGAATGTGTCTTATTGTGAGTTTGACTCCGCACGTCATACGTGAGAGGGGCTCATCTCGGGGTATTTGGTAACCATGAGTTATTCTGGTGGGACCTATTGTCTCTTGATGATGAATATCTATGATATTGTGTTTATCAAAAGTATATCTTTTACATAAAAAGATTAATTTTATTTAGTATATTATATGTATTTAGTTTTATTTGTATACCTAGAGATTATTTAACATTTTTTCAATTACATTTATGATAATACAAATAAAAACTTTTTTTTGCTAAATTTTTTTTTTTAAACTAATTTTGGTTTTTATGGGCAACCGCTGAATGTGGACAAGCAGGGCTGGTCCCGACGTGCCCACATAAAGCGTAATCCACTGTATTATATATCAAACAAAGAATAAAAAAAAAAATCAACAGAGGTAAGTTTAAATATTAATTTTAAATTATTTTAACATAAAAATACAAATATTTTTAAAAACTTGCATGTACACTGTACAAACCTTTACATTAACAACAGTATACATAATTCTACCAATAAACACAGGGTGTCCTGTGAGGATATACCTATAAGCCATAGAAAAGGACTCGCAGCCCTATAAACTAAAAAAATTATTAAAAATCATGAAAATAAAATGTTGAAAAGTTAAAATTTTCAGAAAAATAACTCTACAAAATGGATATCTTCAATTGTCTCAAAAATATTTTTTTATACATTTTTACCAAAAAATAAACTAAAATATATGTAGTCCTTGACACTGTAAGTTTAATAAAAAAAAACAGATTTATGATATATTCATTATCCCAGGAGACATTGCAATGGGAAAATCCTCACAGGACCCCCCGTAGAGTACAGTTTATTAGTTAGATACATAATATTTATTTTAATTGTTATTACTTAGATGTTTGACTTTGACTAAGCATTTTATACAAAGTTCATATAGATATTTGTTGGTTATTATTTTAAAATTAATTAAATACTAGTTACATGAGTTATTGGTGTTTTAAATATAAGTCACATATTTGAAAAAATGTCTGACCAGTGCACACATAAAAAACATCAGTGATAGAAAATAAATACTGCTTCTTTGTATTCTTGTGTTTTTATAATTAGAACTTTACAACTTGCAAGTCTGACTACTTTAAACGTGTATAATAATAAATTGATAGGTATTTTGGTATTCATAAAAATTAAGATTTTTATTCTGTATTAAAATTGTTGTTTTATTTAATTTGTAGTGAATATAAAATGGAAAGTATATCAAAATGAGTCAATATTTATAAATAATAACTTTTAAGTCAACTTAATCTACTAGTATTTTTAAAATAATAATAAATATAATATTAAATCAGTATAAATTCCTACTTTTTTTTTAAATTTCTTAACAGTTTAGAAATGAATATATCAAAGTTGAGACAGTATAAAATGGTTTAACATTCAAAACTTATACTATGATTAAGTTATTTTTTTTTAGAACATTCGGATTTTTTTTGTTGTAGAACATTAAATGAAATATCTTTAATTTATTGATCTCTTTATGAAATTGGCTTGATCTTGAAATGCAATGATATTAATGAAAATACGAAACATTTTAGATCTTGAACTAGGTAGTAAAATGTTCTGAGACCTTCTGGATCCTTAGATGTATTTACATCCAACAACGATCCTGTTTTAGAAGTGGTAAATGATATATGTTCATCATCAATGACGATCTCCAACTCTTGTCTGCCAACTCTATCAGGTGGTGGCCACAGCGCATCATCTTCATGCATAATCTCGGAATCGGATACAATACGTTTGAGCTCATCAATTACTGGTTGATGAACATACACTTCTTTACGGATCATTGTGTCATTTTTGTAGTTGGAATTGTTGGCGTATCGTAGTTTACCATCAGGACGGAACTCAAACTCCAAAAATTCATGTCCAAACTTGCCTAGAAAATTAAAACATTGATTTATTCATTGAACTATATTCTCAGTTATTAGGAAATAGTATAGTCATATTTTTAGTGCATTTTCCAATTATCCTTAATTCATTTATTAATTAAGTACCTATGATTTTTTATAAAATTATACATAGCATAGATAGGTATTAAAAAAATAATGGTACAAATTACCTACAAAATTATAATAGATTTATCATAAATACATAGGTTAGGCGTAATATGATTTACTATGATACTTATAAATAAGCTATGTTTTTAAAATCGTTATCCGTAAAATAAATTTACTCAACATTAATTGATACATTTTTAATATGTACCAACTATTCGTGTATCTTATTAGAAAACATACACATTTTTTAAACAACCATTAACATAGGTGCCCGTAAAATACAAAACTGTAATGTTTAATAAGGTTATAGAAATAGGAATGATTGCTTTGAATGTATAACTCCAATAAATTGTACCTGCAAAAGTTAAGCATAGCAGATAAGGAAATATAAATATCTTAAAATTTAAAAGTTCATATTATAACGATGAAAAGATAGAAATTATACTTTTAAAAATACTAACTAAAATAGTTTTAACAAAAGACTAGGTCAAATATTACAGGCTTACAGCACATTTGTTTTCAGATCTAAACGGCAAAGGAACGCAAATGCTAAAGTATAAACCTTGTCACTTTACGACAACAAACAAATCAAGATAAACAATATGAATCAAAACATAATTATATATTAATATGCATTATCCGAACGGCAAATTTAAAAATGACCTCACTGGAATCGGATAGCATCATTTTGTTTTTCAATATGAATCATTTTGGTAAGGTCTACCGACAAAAACGCTAATTCGAGTTAGGTACGTACCTTTGTGTCCTATGTAATACCGCAAATAGAATTCTCCAGACATTTTTGCGATGGAGACGTTTAACCTCAGATTCTACAGGTTCTTCAGATCCACGGCAGTTCTCGCAAAAAAGGAGAACGAAACGATTTGAACGCCGTACACGAGCTTATATCTTCATCCAGGTAGTGTTTGTTTGGTATCGAAATATCGTCCGTGCAATACCCGATTAGTCGAACGTCGAAAACGCCGAAAACGAGGTAAATACAGCCGCTGTCGCCGAGATACCAGATACGGAAGCGAACAGTGCTGGCGGCGCAAAGAGCGTTTGATTTCCCGCGGCTGCCCTCGCTGCACAACAAATGAACATCGTGCACGGTGATGGGATGATCGATACGGCGCACTCGCGTTTCTTCCATGCTTGCAGATGGCCGACGATTGGTGGCACCGTACACAGTTGCTCGCACACTTGCGCACATACACACACACAAACACACGACTACACGTCGAGACGCACACTGTCAGACCGAGACGCCATCTTATGGCCAAAGTGATTTTATTTGTATTGGGCCGACGTACGTGACGGATACGGTCAGAGTGATGGTGGCGGAAGCGTTCGGGAAAGTAGCGTAAAATCGTCTTCGGGCCAGTCGGTGCACCATCGTCCATCACGGTCGTATCTCTACAAAGTAGTTTCGCCCGTCTCGCATTTTTTGTTTGTGGTGGTCGTCGTATTTATCCTCCGTTTTTTTTAATCGTCGTCCTCCCATCGAAAAATGTCGCGATCGTCGCTGCTGTCCGTGTTCCGATCATCGCCGTTCCGGTCGTCGGTTCGGTAGAGAGAGCAGCGATTGTAATATATCGTCGCTCGCCGCGGTGTGTTGTGCGGTGCGACCGTGTTCGACGTCCGTCGTTGGTGCAGTTGTAGTGCAGTGTATTAGTGGTTTTGGTGCGCGTTCCGTGTGCCAGACAGTGTCTTCGAGTCGGGCCGACATGGAATTGCGGTTGCACAGCCCTGTGGGCTCCGAACCCGTCGTCTACAAATGGCCTATGATCATAGGCAGAGGATCGGTGAGTAACGATAGTGATAACATTGCGCGCGTTGCGACGGCGGTAACGCTGCTGCTGTCTTCGGGGACGGGGCTTTGCCGCCGACGGATAACGACAAGTTAACCATCTTGGGGGGAGGAGGGGAACGATAACCGTCGGTCGTCATTTCGCACATCAATTTTCGTGGTCAACGATACACCGTGACGATAAAATCGCGACCGATCCGTGATAATGTCGATTCGTGTTGTGATGGCGGTTCAATGAACTCTGTTGTACACGTACCGATAGAGATATATTGTTTGAGTGTGCGCGTGTGTGTGTAATTTTCTATGCGATGTAATCATCATAGTCGTTCGTTCGGATTTTGTTTGAGGTACCTACATATTCGATTTGACTTTTTCGAACCGATTTAGCCCTCGTGTGTGTGTTGGGTGCTATACATTATCTAAGAAAAACTCGCCCTTAGGTATACGAAACAACTTCTGAGTTCAATAAAGAATAATGATTACCGTGATAGGTAGTGTGAACAGTTCTGCTGTCAAAACACACACGGAGGTGATACATTGATAATAATTGATAGGTACAATGACTATTTTTGGACAGCTTGATCGTTATTAAACACTACATTCTAGGTAATATAATCGTAACGTAATAGGTATGACGTTAATGTTGTTTGTTGAATCACTGGTCGTTAGTACTTAATGTTAACATAACAGGTATTTACAACTCTTGGATTTTGGTTTTTTTTTGCGAGGGGAGGGTCTTATGACTTCTTATTGTATACTATTATCATTTCAGAAACCAATTGTGTAATTAATATTTAATAGGTACTAAAAGTGCAGTAAGATATTAACGACGATGGTATTCTTTTGTTTTAGGACAAACACGATGGAGCACTGGGAATTATAGAAACAATAAAGTGAGTAACAAAGTGATAGTTTATTTTTACCTTAATAACTTGCGATTTTATTGCATACGTGACCAACATATTTGTCAACTGTTTAATGTTATGACAGTTATGTAGGCATTTTGGGCTATGCAAAAGATTTTGATTACCGTCATGATAAAATCTTTTATTTTTGGTATTGTCAAGTATTTACTGCTCATATATAGTATATATAGCTCATGGTATTGATCTAAAATTACATTTTAAGTAATGCAATACTTTGCAATAAAATTTAAAAATTGCACCAGAACGTTCCCCTTTTAATCGTCAGATAATCATAAATCAATGCAAAATTCATGAATTTAAATTTTAAATACGTGCTATTGTTTCAATTGCCTACTGATCATCAAAATCGTAATTTAAAGTTTATTTATTATCTACTTATAACTGCAGTTAATTTTATAATATTTTAAATATATCAGTGATAAGCCATATAACCATAGGCGGCTTATGAATGAACACAACCCACTCAGGTCTTGGTACTTCTATTACAGATAATATTAATACTGTTTCAAGTAATTTAAATATGTATAGATGTCCAAAATTGATTGCTTTAGACATTTTACCAACAGTAATGCATCGTTTACCAACGTGTTGCAGAATTAAGCAGAATATTATCTGCATTAATTGCTATGTTTGGTACTCATAATTTAATATTGTCACTTGCATATTTCTGTTGTAGTATTTTTTTCGTCGAGATATTTAATAAAACAAGTAGATATATCGATTATACCCTTGATTATACCCATCTAGTCAACATTTTGAATGATAAAAAGTCTCTACTTTAAAACATTGCTTACAAAAGCCGTATAAAAGGTAAACATTTTAGAAACCAGAAACAACCGTCGATTTTAGACTCATATTTTATTAAATTGCGTAATTATTTTAATTAATAGTCATAAACGCACGAACAACTTCACGTCTTCACAGATTTCCGATATGTTGACCTTGGACACGATATTTTTACTCGCCAAAAATTATTTTGGTTTAGTCGCCGCACTTCCTGTCGAATAACTTTCGTGTGATTTGTAAAATTTTTAAAAATTAACACGTACAAGGATAATAATTCTTTCTATGTCCGGCTGCTGGGAGTAATTGTCTGTATATGAACTGTATGAAGAAGGAGATCATTACCGATTTATTACAGACACAGGCTAGCAGTTTAGGAGGCCACAAACCGGTTGTATCATCGGTTTAACGAACTCTGCCGTACCTATTGCTATTATGATCCATCCCGTGTGACGATGGCATTTGTATTTTCGCCGATCATCATCGCTAAATAATAAATATTATAATATAATTATTATTATTTGTATAGTACATGTACCTAACCGTAATGATACAATTTATGTATGTAATAGACGATTGTTGATAATAGTAAACATAATATTATATTCCATATCGGAATAATTTGAATACTTCAATTTAATACAGTCCAATAGAACATTTACTTCTTCGACCGGTTGGGGGGTCGACATTTTATAAAATTTACGACCCTCGTCCCCCGGGGTGGTTTATGCCCACAACTATAACAATTCGCATTCCAATATTGTCTGTTTACCCAATAAAAATACTACAAGAAAAAAAGATTATGTTATTGAACACGTATGTCGCTATATTTCGTAAAATATACAAGGTACGAACACAAATTACGTGCTGGTCTCTGGACACGCTGTGGGTGAAAAAGGAGAAAGACGCTCGAGGCACAACAATAGCACAGCGCGTACATTATTCGGTATAACAAAAGAGGAAGAAGACCAAAAAAAATTCGAAACGAAGAAGAAACCTTGGTCGGAAAACAACCGGTGCTGATGCATTTTGATATTATTTTGCTCCGCCCCGTTCGCTTTTTAACCGGTACACCGATGTTATATTATGTTATTTTTTCCACCCGTTTTTTCGGAACGTACGACAGACGTTTTTTCGTCGTCATCGCGCGTTCGTGTTTCCTTCTTGGCGCGCGTCGTTCGATCGTTTTGCCGGCCGACCGGGCAGGAGAGCGATGACCGTGGTTGCTCGGGGCCAATAACACTGCTGGCATCTTTCAAGGACACGGTTTGGCGGTAACCCCCCTGATCAACCGGATTCGTGAATAAAAATACAAGATTCCTATTGTCTGGTCGACAAAAAAAAAATTATCCTTATGTATATTATTATATTACTGTGGGTGGTTTTGCATTTTGACTGGTTTTTTTTGTTTCGGCGGGCGCGCTTTGAACCAGAAGAGTCAGTCCCGCGTGCTTTTGCCTATTAGTCGTTGTCTGCATTCGAATTATATAATTTTCACAACTTCTACGAATGTTGCATGTACAGTAGTAACTGTTGTACATGTTGAAATAGTCAACTGTTCTTTTTGCCCCGTTGGAATTATTTACTATTTCATTAACCAAATTGTTATTAAAATAACTATTGCGTTAATGAAATAATTATTTAAACAACAATAACGAACGTCGTTTCAAATAAATGTGTGACGATGAAGGACTCAGCTAAAATGTATACAATTCTAAACTAAACATTCTACACGAAACAAACTAGATATACTTCCTCAGACGTAATTATTACGAATAACCTCGTCCACCTACGTGCTCAGCGGTCGTCACGTGCAGTCTTACTTTATTAGGTTTATTCTTATTTTATTTTGAAAATTAAATATTCAATGAATATTAATGAAGTTTATTTTATACATACTTATTTATTTTTCAATAACTGTTTCTCTAAAAAAAAATTAGTTGTTATAAATAAAATACTAATCGGGATACTAGTTATGTTGAGGTTAGTCACATTCATTGTATGATGTTGATCAACTTGGTTTCTTGTTGCGAAAGTGTTATTAAAAATATTCATTCCTTTATTTATACATTAATCATACTGTTAGGAACATTTATATACCTACTATCATCAAATTAATATGCACAGTTTTCTCTATCAATAATCTTATAATATAATAATATAGAAAAATATGATAACATGCAATTGTTTGTAACTAATTAAAATATGAAAGGTTATATAATGTAAATTCACAACTAGGTATACAAAGGTAATATATCTTAAAAATAACCATTCAGTTTAGTATTTTTGCTTCATAACTGATTCATGTAAATAGTAGTCATCGCAATAACTTGATACATTTTGCATTCAACAGTTAAAATTTAAAAGTATGATGCCTAAAAATAGATTGAAGTTGAATTTAAAATGATAAATAAGTAGTATCCAAAAACTTGATAAATTCTAGATATATATTTATTTTTAGTATGACCTATATTAGTTATAAATTATACTATAAAACAAACAACTTAATAGTTTGAAAAATAAGAGCATACCTACTATCTGCAATGAATCATTTTTTGAGTGTATGTGACAAGATAATACTTAATTGTTTGATGTTTCCGTCATTGAAAATATTGTTTAATATTAAATTAAAATAATCAAACATGAAATATTTTCAAGATCTTCTTATAATCTAGCATGATGAAAATTAATCAATTAGTCAATTAAACTATTCACATTATTTTAAATTAGTAGTTATAAAAATAGTTTAATTTCTAAAATAATAAAGCTGTAAGCAAATTATATCTACCTAATTAAATTAATGATGTACAACTTCATATTCAACCTTAATATTACATAAATATCTATAGAAAATATGTACGAATGCCTACAGTTTAAATACTAAATATAATATTATTTGACTTAAATGTACCTATGTTTCTAGTTTTCTACTGACGTAGCATTTCTTTTAGTTATAATTTAAATTAAAATGTTACACCTACCAAATTTAATACAAAAGTAAAAGTACTTAGTGAGTAGGTGCTCACAAAACATAAAATAGATCATGAATTTTTTAGTACTTAACGTATCTATTAAAATTAAAGATTTGACATTTTGTAAATTATATCATCGTGTATTATTCAGCATTTCAGTATTCAGTGTATCTAAATACAATATGTATATATTGGTATATGGTATATTTATCATAATTTATTAACATTATTTTATTTTAAAAATGAATTTGGTTTAGTTGTTTTTGAACCAATAAAGTGAATTTGTTATTTAATTAAAATCAAAAACTGTATACCTATTTAATTTATACGTGTTTTATATGAGTGTTTTTACATCATCAGACTAATTTATCTCTCGATACTTTTCAATAATTAAGTAACAGTAGGTACCTAACTGTAACTTCCTACTAGTCTTCGTATTTAAATCAAATGAATAAATTTGTTTTCTTTTATTGTTAAACCATAATAATTCTTCATGGCGTCAACAATTGTAAATCTAGGTCAAACACAATATATATGGTAAATAGCAAGGTAAATAGTATACAACTGATAAATATATGTTTAAGGTAATGAAAAGATAAACTATTTTACTATTTCGTATTTATACAATTCACATCGGTATTATGGTTTTGGCTAGGCAAGGAAAAATGATCTTATATCACCTACATATTTATTTTTTATTAGGCATACCTACTATTATTAACGGTACACGTTTTGAATGATATTTACCTACATTAAAAATAATTATTTAATATTGACTTATCATTAGATATGACATATTTATTTAAAATATTTTCCATGGTAGATGTTTGCCTTTTTTAACAACAAAAGACATATTGGGTGCGTTTGTCTTATGTGGATGTCTTCAGGTCAACCACCAAGTTAATTTGTCTTTAACTCCTACGATTTTTAACAAAATATAAGAATATTAATATGATAAAGATAATATTAAAATAACATTGACTGTAATTTGCCGTTAAACGTGTTTAATATCTCTCCGCATTCAGTTGTAAAAACGTGTACCTATTTCAATCCAAGTATTTTAAACGTTTTGTAATGTTATAATAACGTGGGTAGACCTATGTTTTATTAAATTTAGTTATGATAGTATACAATAATATGTTAATCACTTGTTTGAGTTGTACTGGTTTTTTTAGCTATATTATACATTTTATATTATTACGGTAGTAATAGACTTTTTAAAAAACTAGTTTTACGCTTGACTAAAGTCTTCATATTAATGGACGCTGTCAATAATATCACGGTGTTTTCCGCGTGATAAAAAACGTTGCTTTATCGCCATACGTTTTTATGAACAATATGATATTTATTTTTATTATTACAAGCCAACTGCGTTCACTGTTGCGAATTATTATTGTTGTTGTTTTCTTCTTCGTCGTCGGAGAAATGTCCTAGAAAACTTCTCTCCAACGTCGCGGTTTATAACGGTTTTTTCCTTTTTTTTCCGTGCAATGAACGCATTATTACTACTAGTAGAGAGTGCACTGGCACCTGTACTCTGCGCTGATGGTGGTGGCGGCTAAAGCCACTGCGCGCGAGTTCGAACCGGTTTTCTATGTTTCGTTACATAACGGTCCGTGGTCACAACTAACAATATATATGTATAATAATAATGGTAGTATAATAGTACTAATACTAATAATTATATATATAATATCATACTCGTCCGCATCAGCGACAGGTATTATATATAAACCACCGCAGCGGACAGCGGTTACCTCTTACCATCGTCGCGATGATTACAACAATGATAATAATACCATACTGTAATAAACGAATATATTGTTCGTCTCGTGTACATGAAAAGGTCGTTTCACCACGTCGTCGCAATCTTAAACATCATACATACAACGAAATTAAATATTTTGACGTATTTGCATCGATTTGTCATGACATTTTGTTCAAGATATTATTTATATTGATGTTAAACAATGCATTCGAATGGCCATGCCCGTCGTTAAAAAACATCATTACCTGCCTAGTGAGGCAGGAAACAGTGAAACCGTTGAATTGTGCGCGGGCAGTTCGAGAGAAAGGAAATCACGAGGTCACGCGCCGAGCCCGCGGGACCCGAGTCGCGGGATGAGCGCTGGCACACCACCACCAGCAGCAACCCGATTACGCATATATTTGTATGTTATTTTATTTTATCGATCGACGGCGGGGCCCTCGACCTCGGCGCTCGGAAGTGTGCTGGGTGGACCGCCGCCACCAACCCCGGACGGTGACGGTTGTGAGCGTGTACGACGACGATACCGTGGCCGCATTCCCTGGTGACGTCACGGACGTGTGTGCCATTCTGTTGGCGAGGGTTGAAATTCCCCTCCTACCACCACATGGTTGTTCGTTTTGTCGGGGCGTGAGTGTGGTAGTGTTCCATTTCGGTGATCGCCCGAGTCTTTTCATCTTGTATAAGGGAAGTAACATTTTGTTGTTTGATCCGTTTTGCTTATTTTCCAGATTTTCGCCGTTTATTATATTTTATTTCCATTGATCTCACTACGCGTTTTCAAATATTATTCTAAACGCCATATTCGAAGGCTGCGTCTAGACGAATAAATTCGCCTGAAATATCCAACCCTCCCTGCTGGCCATACTTTATTGACGGCAGCTGGGAAAAATCAAGAAGAGATCCTTGTGATTTCCGGGACCCTCCAGCTCTCCTGCTTAGGAATTATGTTAAATATCCAATCGACAACATTGTGCGTGAACAGTGTAAACGCGGTGCATGCAAAAACGCCACGGTCAATATTGTTCGTGTAAACGCTGAACAAAACCTGTTCATTGATTATCATTTAAAACATCATACCTGTAATAAACTGACAACTTTCTGTATTCTCTAACCGTTTTTAAATAATTATAATTGAATAACCTAACCTAGTGTGTAATGCCTGGTGTGATACTATAGTTAGAATGGTAGGCGGAAAAAATGCCCAGAAATAAAATTAAATATAAATGTGAATACATGTACATTGTACTTATGCTCTACTCCTAATTAGTAATTAATAATTCATAAATTTTATATGCAGATACTCAATTAATAAGAAACATTTTTTACCTATTTATTCAATGAAAAATGTCAAATATAAATGATTTTATATCAGAGTATGGTCTATGCTTAACTATTAATTATAAATAAAAAACATTTGTAATAGTAAAAAAAAATTAAATATAAATATGAACTCATCTATTCATAACATACAGTATTAAAACTTATAAGTTATAAGTCAATAACTTATACTAAAACATAAAGGGTATCTTAACATTTCTACAAAAATTACACGTGATAGGTAATAATTTATGACATTATTTTCATTATAATATGTTGTATTTTGTTATTACTCCTCGCGGTAATTACTAATTAGGAGTAGGGTATTCATGTGTTCACATTTATATTTCATTTTTTTGGGGGGGCTTTTTTCCCTTGGTGTGTTAATTTTGTTGTGCTTTTTTCGGGGCTTTTTTCCGCGATTCGTTGGAATAGATTTTATATTTCGCTTAAGCTGTTGTCGAGGGTTTTGTAATAATTTATTTTGAGTTTAAACAGTTATTTTTCTGAAAGCATTAAATTATCTTTTCAACTATTAAGAAAATATATTCAAGCATTCGTTTTCCACAGCAACACGAGAGAACATATTTGTATGAAACTATTATTATTCGCTAGTTTTAACTCATGTTTTTTCGTGAGCGTATTCTATAACATCGATTCCTATTATAGAAGTAGGAGTCAACCTTGAAATAGACTACTTAATGCTGGTGCTTTGGCTAAAATGTTTAAAAGATTTTGTGTATCAATGTAATATAAACTTCAAACTTCAAAAAGTTATCAATTATAATCTTGATTATAATGTTATAATATTTTCTCATTATTTAAAATTGTTGTAAAATAGGTATTTAACATTCTAAGACTTATACATTTTTTTAATTTATTTTGTATTTTGATATTGTACTGAACGGTATAGAACTTTCATCCTCATACTATAAATTTGTAAAACAAATTTTCTGACTGAAATGTCATAATAAATATTTACGTTTGAATCTCAATTGAATGTTCAGGATTATCATTCTACAATTATTCTAATAACTTATAAATTAGTAATGATGTGTTAAGAACAAAGTTTTAATCATGAATGTTCGTTATAATTCGGTACCATCTGAGATTATTTAAAAACTGCTTTTCGATGGGTAGGTATCTACTAAAAACTATTCCGTGTTATCCACAACGGCCCTATAACTCAAAAAACTGTGACCTATGTATTATTTGGTATTTATATTTTGTGTGCAAATAATTTGTTGTATTCCTAAATATTTTAGTCACAATACGTGTAATTATATAGTAGGTATACTGTCACTGTGGCTCACTGTCGAAGTTATTTTATTTAACTTAAATAATGTTGGGTACCACGTGTCTTGGTAGTGTGCATAGCATGTTAATTAGGTTTATTTAGAAGTTACTTGCCTTCCGGGTTTTTAATAATATATTATATTCTGTTCAATGTCACATGTAAACGTACTTAGGTACGCACCTGTTGCTGCGGTTTATGGGTGGATATATTTCTCGTACATAGGAATTATATTGTATTTCAATAAGTTATTTGCTAAATATGTTTTCAAAATTACCATTTAGTACAGACATTTTAACATTTTATATGGAGTGTCCTTGTAGTTATAGTATAGTATAATTTTCGAGATAATTTTTGTCATTTGCGTAAATTATGGATACCAAACGCATAGGCCTTATTGTGAAATAATCTCCGTAATCGTCATATTTTGAATATTTTATTCAGAACTGGCCAATAGTATACCAAGATTTGTCTACTAGTTATTCAAAACCTATTTTTGTTTTATGAGAATTCTAAACGACGGCTGATATAATTGGAAAAAGTATTTTTTTTATTTTGCTGTTTATTGATAATAAAAGTTTTTTTTCAAAATATACTGCGCAAATCACCGTTGCAAGGACAACTTGACGTTATCAGCATCGTAATAGTTGCCGATATTAATATTGTGGAAAGAGGAAAAAACCTCATAATAACCTTGGCCCCGATTCCATGTTATTATTATGCATTTTGTGCATCAAGTTCACACACAGTAAACCATAAACAAAAACAACAATTATTAGCATAATTGTATTAATATTGATGTTATCACATATTATTTATACACTGATTGATTTGGTAATTAATACAGAGCTTGTTTAACAGTATACACTTATCATCTCAAAAAGTATTAACGTTTATGAAAAATGTTTTTTTTTATAATTGAAGTCATGAACTCATAATTTATTACAAAACCCACATTTTTAAATAAAATTATAATTTTTGTTACTTAATACTTTTAATATTATTTCACTTATGTTTTTTTACGTACATGTACCTAAATAATATTTAAATAATAGCATGACATTTTTTTAAAGTATAAATGGGTAGTCGACAATTTAAATAGATAGACTAGATTATTTTTCATAATTCCACTCTGCCACACCACTGGTGAAACTTTTTTTAAACTTTTATTTGAAATACAATCTAGGAGTGTATATTTTAAAAAAGCTTTTAATAAATGTGAGTAAATAATTAATATAGACATATAACAGATTAAAAAGAATTACCCCGCAATTATACTTTTTGACTTGATTTTTTTTTAAATTATTTATTTAAACATAACCTACTTACTATGTACTTAAATAACTAATTAAATCTATAATTAATTTTTTTCTGTAGATTGGTGTCGGATGATTTCCCAGACATGAAGATCCCTCTAGAAAACAACATACTTTGTAACTACGACACGAAATCGTAAGTTATTGACTCATCTTGTATTTATAACCTCAACCTTTAGTGTCAATTACCCAAAACGAATCATTTATTTATGTATTTTCTGTTGTAGATACGACAGCATGAAGTCCTTGTGCGACAGGTTCAATAAGGCTATTGACAGCATGGTTCAAATGGTAAATATGAAATTGAAAAAATATCGATTTTTTCCCTCCGATTCGTATTCAAAGGGTTGTATTTAAATGGGTGCCATTTATTGGGGTGACAAAAAAATAGGGTGTTCGTGTTCATCGAAAATGCTTACGTGACCTTATCCTTCTTATTCATGAAGCTGGTGTTCCACGATAATAATTTATCGCGTGATTTTCAGTGTTGCCAAACTTAATTGAAAATATCAAACTATATGTACCAAACAATACTGAAAAACAAAAAATAAATAATATTGTATAGATACCTACTATATTATATGTATTTTGGAGAACCTAACAGATATGAGTAAAATCTGTTATCCCTAAACCGCTTAATTTTAACAGATCTTGTAATTATACACGTTGGTTATTAGTTATTACGAGACCCGACTTCCTGTATTTTAATCGACGATAAGATATTTTCATTAAAAATTTCCAGAAAACGAACGTGATCATGAACAGCGGCGTCAAGCAAACAGCTGTTGTTCCCTTCTATTCTATTTGTCTGGTGTACTCTTCAATCCCTATATTATTACATTGTAACGTAATTTACAACCTGCGTATTTGGCAGCCCCACCTGCCTTTGCCAGATGCATGTTACTTAGGCCATGGTATTTATATTCCCCCTTATTGTATATTTTACTGTGAAAGTATACACAATATAAAAATAATACCTATATATGTTGTTAGCATTTAAAATATTGTATTAAACATTTTTTCAAAATTTGAAAAAAATTGGTAATATTATATACTTTGTTATACTAGAGGATTTCGGTCGTTGAGAGAATATTGATAAGGTTCCACGTCGTATTTTCCTATTTTCTAGTCTAGAAGGTTTATACATTTTGTCAAATAAGGTATTACGAATTAGTAATGACTAGGGCTCTCGGATGTGAAGGCAAAGTAAACAATAAAAAAAAAAAACACTTAAAATGTGGAAAAAAAGCGAAAAAATTCATTTAATTTATATCATACAGCAATTAAATGAACTAAACAATGTAATAGATTTATGTCAAAATTTACAAGTTTGTATAAAAAAAATTTAACTGCCATATTATTTACATACATTTTCTTTTAAAAAACTTATTATCGATGTTTTATCTGAAACACAAAATATTTTTGAGAATGGTCCTTCTATCTTCCAACATTAATTTGCACATTATTGGTGCGTGTTTTATATATGAATAGTCACCTAAATAACGTATGTTGTTTATACAACTATTAGATAAATCTAAAATCAAACACAAAAAGACATTTATAAGTAAAAAGGACAAAACAAATATCCATCCATTATCTTAGATATTAAATGAAACTCATTTTTATATAAAAATTATTTTTCTATTATTAATATAAATGTTTTTGCTTTCCAATTCGAGCCCTAGTAATTACTAACTATTATAATTTCTTATCAAAACATTTAGTTTATCCCTCTATTTTATAAAAAAAATAAAGTTTTGAAATTAAATTTTTTTTAGGAGGTAATTAATTAATCTAGCGGTTGGCGTGTAAAGAAATCGGAGGGCAAAGCTCCAACTTCCTTTAATCTTGTTTCAAATTTAAATATTTATACTTCCCAATAAAATACAATTAATATTTATACTTATAAGTATATAACCAATGTTATAATTATTACATTTTAATCAAAATTATTTCATTTTTTCAGAATAAAGGAACTTCTTTACAAAAATTCAGTAAAAAAGCATCTAGAAATCTTCTTCGACACATAATTCAACAAGTTTACAATGTTTCTGTCACTGATCCTGATAAACTAAATCAATATGAACCATTTTCGCCTGAAGTGTGTATCAATTCTAAACTCTTAATACTTTTTGACTTTAAGTATACTGTATCTATTTTTGTTACCTTTAGGTGTATGGAGAAACATCCTTCGATCTCATCTGTCAAATGATTGATCTGATTAACATTACTGAAGATGATATATTTATAGACCTCGGATCTGGTGTGGGGCAAATTGTTTTACAGATGGCTGCGGCCACTCAATGTAAAATCTGCTGGGGTGTTGAAAAAGCTGATGTTCCTTCATCATACTCAAAAGTAATTAATAATACCTAAATAAAGTAAATTAATAAAATTGTGTTAATCATATTTTTTTTCCTCAGTTCATGCATTTAAATTTTCAAAAATGGATGTCTTGGTATGGCAAACAATGTGGCCAATATCAACTAATGAAGGGTGACTTTTTGAGTGAAGAACATAGGGAAAAGATAACTAATGCAACAATTGTATTTGTGAATAATTATGCATTTGGGCCACAAGTAGATCATATGTTAAAACAACGATTTGCTGACCTTAAAGATGGAGCTAGAATAGTTTCTTCGAGATCGTTTTGTCCGCTTAATTTTCGAATGTCTGAACGCAATTTGAGTGGTAAGTAAATTTATTATTTTATTTTTTTCTTCTGTTATTAATTTATGCTTGTTTGTCTTAAAAGATATTGGAACCATAATGCATGTAACAGCGATGGAACCTATAACTGGTTCAGTTTCTTGGACTTGTAACCCTGTAAAGTATTATCTACATGTTATTGATCGAACAAAGGTAATTAATATTTTCAATTTTAAGTTATTTTCTTGTAGTAATCTATGCATTAATGGTTTTATACTTCATATTAATCATGAGATATCTTACATTTTTGTAGAATATTATACCACAGTTCTACAAGCAATACTATTGTTGATCTTCTTTTAAAACTAATTCAATTATGTTATTGTACATTTATATTTACATAACCATGTTTTATATTACAGTATAATTCATATTGTTTTAAGCTGATATGTTTTACCATTTTATATTTAATTTTTGTTTATACATTTTTTTCAAACCCCATAAATAATAGTATTTACATTTGAAGTTAATCTTTCTTTAAGTGCTAAATTAATTTTTAAAACTTAAAAAAAATCAGCAGAAGTGATAGACCAAAATTACTTATTGATAATTGAATTACAACACCTATTTTACAATATTATTTTTATTTTTAAGATAATAATAAATTAATTATAGACAAATGATATTTTAAGAAAACTACATTTTGTAGTCTAAAGCAAATTCTATTTATATCTTGGTAAAACTATTTTTTAACCTAATCTAATATGATCCTTTTAAAACTTTAATAATCAAAGTATATTTTATTATAATATTTGAGCTTAAATATTGTACTACACACTACATTTCTTGACTGGTAATGCATTAGTAAACTATAAAATGAATTAAATTTTTTTATAAACTTGTGAATTAATGAATTATAATTATTTGAAAATAACTAATAGTTGTATAAAATATATATTTATTTATGTAAATTAAATATGTATTAATCTAACTTTAATGCTATTTAATCTTTACTTAAATCTATTATTTTGTTTATTGAACTAGGTGAATATTTTCATTATTTATATTTTGTTTATTATTTCAAAGCTTACCAATAATTTAATTTATTTCTTTTTTTCCAAAGTGATAATTAGTTGTTGGTTGTATTAAGTTTTATTTTTTTTTTAATGTCAACAGCTCGAGCGGTATTTTACTCAAAATAAGCCTCCTGTTCCAAAATCAAGGGTAATTAAACAGCAAAATGTCTGCGAGTAAAATTAATGTTTATATTTTATATTTTTGTGCTTATGACTTATAAAACATTTGTTTTACTCATTTAACCCTTTTATTTTCTTCAACCTGCAGTTATTGTCGACGAACAGCGTTCATCGAAAGGACATGCAGTTTATTTTTGTTATGTTTCTAAATTATTATTAATTTTAGGTGAATGGAGATAAACAAAAATTAACAACAACCATTTCTGTTAATAATTGTTCATCTGATGATACAGACTCATTGTTTAGTACTTTGAATGGCGATAGTGTAGATGGAAGTGCTACAACTGGATTGACACCCGATAAAACTATAACAAACAACAACGGGCAATGTGCATGGTCAGATCTAGGTGGGCAAAATAGTGAGGAAGAAAATGAAAATAATCCAGGTATTTTTGTGATATAAGTTAAGAACCTATTGCATATTTTTAATTAATATAAATCATATTGACAGACAATCACAGTAGAACTACTAGAAAAGTAATGAAGCGTAACACACCTCGACGTAGTCGTAGTTTTAAAATCACTCCTACTACATACTTAAACCGATCACATTCTGAAGCAACTGTTCCTGAAAAAAAGACTGTAGAAAAAATCGCTAAAGCGAAACGAGTTGTTTCTACAAATCGCAAACAAAAGGCTAAACGAAAGCCACCAAAACGTAATGTTAAAATATCAGCGTCTCTAAATTTGTTACATAGTGAGACTGTATTAAGCACTACACCAGAAGTATCAATGAGTATTAAGGAACCTCCTAAAGGTTGTGTTGATCATACTTTGACTTCAATTACGGGAGTGGGAGCTGGATATGCTGCTACTCATACTGAACTTCCTCCGCCCACTGGAGATATTCCATACTCATTACAATTGCTTTTAGATGATTATAAAGAAGGCTTTATGAATATGATTAATATGTTTAAGACTCAAAAATTCCGTGAAGATGTTGAAGCACAAATAATTGCTGAAAAGGTAAGAAAAATAATAAATATATTATTATTATAATATACACTTACAAAACAATAATTATTTTAGGAAAAAAAACAAAATTCAAACATGAAAATAAATCAAATTAAAAAACAAATTGACCATCTAATTAAGGATAGTTGTAGTCTTTTAAAGACTCGTATGAAGGAACTTGATATTTATCCTACTAATACTACAGGAGATGTTTTGACGGCAGCTAAAGTAATTGTATTGCGCCATAAAGATCTACAAACTAAAGTGGCCAAAGTTAAAAATGAAGTAAGTTGAATGCTAAAAATTATGTTTAAGACTATTTATTTTTTATTTTTCTTGGTAAAATAATTTAAATTAATATTTGTTTTTATAGACAAATGTATTAGAGAATCAACATTGGGACTATTACTGTAAAAGAGCTGCTGAGGTGAATGCTGTTGGAACTCCTGCACATTTATTAGTACATCAAATTGATAACTCAACAGATCAAGAAATAAACACCCAACGTTTATTAATGACAGAACTTATGGCCAATCGAAAAAGAAAACATGCTTTGTCTTCAACTATTGAAGGAGTCAAAACTGAAATTGATAACTTAGAAAAACAAAATACATCAAGTAAGTTCAATAGTTCTTTAGTAAATCAAATTTGTAATAACAAAAAATCAAGAATACGATCCCAAGACTGGCCAGAAGTACCAGATATAGCTAGAATTGATGAAAAAAATCCAGAAATTTTAGCACAAAAAATATTAGAAACTGGTAGACAAATTGAAGCCAGAAAAATAATAGAAAATGGTAGACAAGTTGAATTATCGACACGGTATCAACGCTCAAATAAGATCTATAATAGAAATTCATCTGATACCCCACTGAAAGTGCCTTTTTATGATGAACATGTCAAAGATCTCATTACTCATGCTTTAAATGAACCATCACCAAAAGGACCAGATTATACTATTGTAACACCTGCTAAAATTGCTTTACGAAAGCATCTATCACAGGTAAAGTAAAACAATTTAAATATTAGGTACTCTTTTAAACTTTACTTTATAACTAATCTGTATTGTATTCCATATTCTTTGTAGGAAAAAATTTCACCCAGTCCACCAATACAGCAACAAAATGTCATAACAAGAACAATTGGTGATGTACTAAATAATGAAATTGAACGATGTTTAGAAATGGACAGACATAATCGAACATTAGAAATAAGCAATCAGTCCATAATTAATGCTGTTGTACCATTATCCATGCATAATAGAAATAAAGACACCAACCAAGCTATAAATCAGACATTGCCTTCAGAAAAACGTTCATTTATGTATATACCGTTACCAAAAGCTGAACTCAAACCTTACCAAGAATCATTATTTAGTGATGATATCCTTCCACCTCATTTAACCACTCTAAAAGAAGAACCTGTTGAAGGGTAATTGTTGAATACTAATTAAAATATACTACTTTAAATACATTTTTTATAATGTTATGTTGTTGATTAGACTGGCTGCATCATTGCACGATCGACTATTAGATAATGATGGAGATGATAGTAATGGTGATGAAGGCTTGTCATTTAAAGAAGAAAAGACTGAATCCGACACTCAATCACCACATAGAACACTCAAGCGCAGTTCTGAATCACCTGGCCCTCTAAATGCTAAAAAAATGACACCTATGTCTGACAGACTTCCCTCTGAAGAAGGTATTTGATTTTAAATATTTCATCCAAACTTATTTTAGATTTTGGTTTTGGCGTGTAATTTGAATTCGTTTTCACATTCAACTTCCGAATAGATGTTTTATTTTTCTTATCAGACAGTCGCCTGATTGTTTTAATGTTGTATTTAGCTTGGCTTAAACTTAAACATTTTCACAGAAATTTTTTAGTCTTTTAAACTGTATTTGTTTTAATAATTTAAAAATATTAAACAGTCTGGTGGTGGCCATGTGCAAATATAAAAATTATTTCTAAACAAGAAAATTATATCTTTTTATATTTTAAATTTTATATTACTACTACTACTACTACTGTTATTATTATTATTATTATATTATTATTATTGTGATTATTATTACTATTATGAATATTTGTATTGTTATTATTAATACAACAACAACTACAGCTACTACTACTACTACTACTACTACTACTACTACTACTACTACTACTACTACTACTACTACTACTACTTTTTTATTTTTTTTTTTTTTTTATCTTAGTATCGTCGAACCGGGGGAGAACTGCCTATGCTTTGCATTCCCGCCGGTCCGCCATCGTTTATTAACTTAAATTACAATTTTACATTACAGCATGCTTAACGTGATTTACAATAATACTACAGTTATTAGCTCGATATATACATTACAGACTTTACATACAGGTGAATTATACTAAACATTTGCCATAACATATACATAGATGATTTTAATTTCCTGGTCGTAGCTTATCCTTTTCTCAGGCCGGCTAGCCAGCCCGCCGCCTTTGTAGTCACGAACTATGGTCTATTGGCGTATCTCTGGGACTCCTCCTCCTCCTTGATGCACTACTACTACTACTACTTCTACTACTACTAATACTAATTACTATTACAACTACCACTACTGTGAATATTATTATTGATATTGTCATTTATAAAATAAACTTAAAAACTTTAATATAAGCTCAATAGTTTTTTCTTGACTGCTCAATGACCAAACTTTTACATATTTATTATCCTCTTGTTTTGAATACTCCCAAATACATATTTTAGTCTATTTTACAATATATTGTTTTACAAATACTTTTATCATTCTTACTGCTACAATGATTGTAATTAAAATATTTTATTAAATTTATATATTGTCATATTACATTTCTTTTTTACTATTATCGATATATTATTAATTATAATGAATACAATTTTCAACCAAATACTAATGATTCTTATGGAGTAATTTATTTACACTCATTGCATGTTTTGCTGGTTTTTTGTTGCTTGTCACGCTTATTAATTTCTATTTTAGGATTTAATACTCGTACTCTAAAGTATGCTGCAAGAAGTATTATTTAGCTGTATAAATAGAGACTTTAGCTGGCCTAATGGATTTGGATTACATTGTAAAATATTAAGGTGAGTGCACTGCATTGCGTTGTACAATACACAATATTATATTTATTTTGGCATGTTTCTTATGTTGTTTGTACTAAGTAATTATTTTATAAAATCTTACCCTTTTTTGGTTTGGTGCATGTAAAATATTTCAGAAAAAAAATTTTTTTAATTAAGAGGTCACCACTTCTGCATTTGTTGTCTTACGAGTGTGTAACAGGAAATTTTTGTTCTTCAGTTCACGTTTTGCTTTTTTAGTTTTAATATTAATGTGAACAGACCTATTTTCACACTTTAAGGTAAGAATGTTATCTTTATTGAACATCAGTTTCGTGTGATTTTAATTTCCAGGCGAGTTATAAATGTAAAATATTTTAATTAATTGCACTCGTGTCAAAATTAAAATAACTGATGTTCAAACACAAAATATAGTGTTTTTGCCTAAAAATTTGATTAAGTATCAATTCTCACTAATATTAAAATCAGTAATAAGCTGAACGTAAATTGGTTATTTTACACACTTGTATGACAGAGATTACAAATGGGGATAGTGTCTTCTTCTTAATTATAAATAATATTTTGAAGTATATTTTTTTTTTTTGAAACTGCCAATGGTTTTTATCTGATAGTTAATTCATTGATAATACCACAATATTCTATTAAAGAAAATTTCTGAGTTTTTGTTGACACAATTTTTTTTTTTACTCGCATGTTCATTTTTAAAAAATGTTATATACACCTACCTACTGCCATATAGAACAAGTTACCTTAGGTTTAGTTTTATTTTGGGTCATAGCACTTTCAACATAGTCATATTATTTAATATTATGAAATAATTCAAGAAGCAATTTGATTTATTTAATACTTTATTCTATAAGGCGCATAATAATATAGTATATGCTGTATAAATTGAAATTTACTTTTAATATCGGGTTATATGTTTTTAAAAATCAGTACCTCTTCATAAATGTTATATCCGTACTATACAATTTTATTTAAAGTTGCATAATATTATGTTTGATTAGTATTTTTTTTTAACAAACTGATTTCAACAAAAAATAATTTTATACTTTTTAACGAAACTGTATTAATATTACTTAATATTTGTTTGTGTACCTGTGATAAAACAATATATTTGTTTGTTTGTGAAATGAATATCTAGTGTTTACTGTTTAGTATTATTGCATGCCTCTGGCTAAAATCCATCTAAACTTTACATAATATTATATTCTATTTTTAATAAAAACCATTACACTTACCATATTTAACAATATTAATTTAAAATTAAATAAAACAACTAATTGTTTTGCCTGGATAATTCAATAATCAGAATATTTTAATCACAATAATGTAACTATTGGTTTTTGATTTATTATGTAATCCTTATGTTTACTAAAATATGTCTACTTTTAGATGAGAAATGGAATGATCGCATTCGTGAAAGATTTGATAGCTTGGTAACATTTGCATCATTAGAATTGGATAAACGGCGTCGTAATAGTTCAGATGCTGCTGCTGCCAATACCAGTCCTGATAGTGGTATAGGTCACGGTGATCCACCGCCTGCCTTACAGCCACCACCATCACCGTCACCCCCATTTTCACCAGCTCCATTGGATGGACCATACAGTCCTGTACCTGCTCCTACTGTGACTGCTCCAAACATACCATTAAGATATCAACGTCACACTAACCACAAAAAGAAGTCTTTTCGTGATAAATATCGGTCCACTGGACCTAAAGCAAAAACTTGGGCTGCCAAATGGATGGATGATGAAATTCAAAGCACAAGCAATTTTTTTTAATGCAAGTATTTTATTTTTCTAAAATTCCGTATCCACAACCCTATTAGTTCGATTTTAAATGTTTATAATTGTTAAAAAGAAACTTTTTCACACCCATAACAATTATCAATCTATTATATTTATTGTTTTTCAATTAAAAAAAATAAATAAAAATCCGAATTATATGGTATTTTTTTTTAATAATGTTATTCATTATAATTAAATCATTGACTTGAAATCAGTAATAGTTTTTTTTTTTTTTTTAAATACAGGTTCCTTGTTATTGTATTTTTCAACAGTACACATTTTTATTGAAGAAAAGTTAATAAATTATAATTATAATAATTATACTTTTGGTGAATTTATTTTTAAGCAATATTTTTAACTGCCTTAGTTTGATTTGTTTACCGATTGTTTTATTATCATTAACTAGTATTTATTAATATTATTTTTTATTCTTTTCTTTTTTTTTCGTTATCCTATCACTGATTTTAGAATAATAATTAATCAAATTAATAATCTATTCACAATAAATATTCTGAATAGAAATTAAGTACTTAACATTGTAAATAATTGCTTTAAAAATGTGTACAGTAAGCAAACAATTAATTAGGCATCCCAAATACCATAGAAATAATGTGTTCTTTATTGTTTATTTTTTTTTTTTTTTATATATTGTTATTAGTATAGGTACCTAAATATATTTTTTTTTGTCAAAATCTGTGTCCTTGTTTTACATTTGTTTTTTTTTTTTGTCGATTTAGCTCATCACTGCCTTTATATTGAAGCCCCCATACTTATAAATATGTACCTATAGTTCTATAAATTAATAATTAGTATAAAAAAATTTTTAAAATAAAATGGGGGAACTTAGACTTTTTCAAACATCTTTTTATAATCAATTTTTCAAACTGCCACTCGTTAAAAGTGTTCAAATTTAAAATGTAAACCATTTCTTTTTTTTTGTATTGCAATTTGCATAATTTTTTGTTCCTAAGTTATTATATAGTTCTCCAATTTTGTACAGAATATTTTAGTGGACTTTTTGACAGATGTTATTTATTTCTTTTTATAATACTATTAAGAACATTGTACTGCAAGTACAAAATTATGTTACGTACTAATAAAGTATTGTAAATACATGTTAAATATATTGTTTTGATGGTACATATTTTTGTTTTTTAAATTGTACTATCACATAATTTATACATATACCTTAAATAAATGTATAATTTGTATATTCCTATTAGTGAAAATAAACTCTTATTGCAGTAGTTCTTAAATTGTTTTGACTCTAGAACAACTTGCACTGTGAATTGTGATCAAACAAATCGTTGGCGCCCACAAGAATCGCAAGTGTTAAGTAATTGTTAGCACTAATACATAAGTATAATATAAACACAATCTATTTGATTACTAAGTCTGACCAGTGGACCACCCGATCTCAAAGAAATCAACCTAACAATGTAATAATATGTAGGCATATAGACATTATCCAGTATTTTACCTCTATATACAGTTACGATACATGTGTCAGTATGTATATATTATATTGTGTAATATATTTTTTTACAAGTGAAATAATGTGAATTTTATGAATCAAAAGAATGTGAATATGATAGAATATTAAAGAATGCGTGGGATAATTTGAATATTTCTAGTAGGTATTTTTATTTTTATTTATTTTATTCTATTAGTAGGTAAATGTATCATAAGAAAATTGTTTACAAGCTACAGATTTACTTTGTCTATGAAATTAAATACATCATTTTTCATAAAAGTAAAAATAAGTTATAAATTAAGTCAAAATTTGATATCATTCCAGAATAAAAGTAAATAGTTATTATTTATTAATTTCTTTATTTTATACTTGTTTATCATTTGATAAGCCTGCAAATTATAATCACAGATTCTGTGATATAATTGTAACTCTGAACTCATACCAAAGACTACGGGGTTACGACACTGGTTTGGCCGAATCGGAAGATTGTTGCCTTCTAAGTTTTCGTAACTCTAATAAACAAACGTTTGTATAACATCATGCTCTTAGGTTGGTTGGCAGGTTCTTTTCCATACTTCTCGTATATTATCTTATTTTCTTTTTATATAACTGGGTGGTAAATATTATTTGAAATGTATACATAAAGTTATTGATTAATGTAGATTTGCAATTTGTAGGATCAAGTCATTTTTATAATGGCAGGGGGGGGCAAAAGCCGTCCACTGCCGTGTGCGGCATTTAAAATAATGGCACCCCGTGTTATAGAGATCTAGTTGCTCCTTGCGCCTATGAGTTTATAGCTATACGGCTATACGTATGGTATGGACAATGATATTTAATAAATGTCACAAGAATTAAAAAAAGAAAAATAAACATTTATTCATAGATATTATTTATTGTTTAAAACAATATGCTTATGGTTATCAGAGTTCTCTGAATAATTTCAAACAGAAATATCGAGAAACTAAAAGTGCTATCACGAGACAATGAGACAATGTGTTCTGCCTATAAATTATTATAATATTATAATATGTTCAATATTAAAGTTTTCAAAATGTCCCAATTAATTTGTATACCAAAATTTAAGTATAAATAACAAATAATAGTTACTCAAATATAAAAAAACAATATATTAGGTACACAAGAGTGATACAGGTATTGAAAACAAGTAATCAAATATTTGTGATATAGAAAGATACTAAATATTGTACAATAATTATATTATTATTATTATTATTATTATATTTATACCTTCATTATGAAACTTGAACAACATTAAGACTTCTTTAAAAAAAGTATTTACACTAACGAGTAACGAGTAACGACTAACAAACACACAGCCAATGAAAAAAACACAATAGGTAGGTACACTGTTAAACTAATACCTTTATAGTATATAGCCATATAAGTATGTTATATATCTATCAAATTATGAAAATGAAATATTATATACATAATGTATAAATAGTTTTTTATTTCCATAATCTAAAAACATTACACTTATCATGTATCCATTATTTTAAATAAATTCTTGTGTACATATTGTCGTATTTCATTATTGTATACACAACATAGGTATTTGAATATCGCCTGATTTACATAATATGAGAGATCGGTAGCGCAGTTTAGGATTTTTAATGTCAGATTTTTCCATTCGGTATGTATGCTTTGATGTGTCTATACTTCTATTGCGCAGCCCTACCTGCGGCTGCTGCAATCCAAAATTTTTGGAATGAAGATGAATTTTGTCAGAATTTAAACGCTAAATATGCTGTTAACAGCCGTGCAATTAAAATTGTAAGTACCTACTTATCCTATAATTAACATTTTTAGGATCAATGTATTAGATAGATAATAGGTAACCGTTGGTTGTATCCATATCGTAACCAGTTACCACCCCCCTATTCAATGCTCTATTATAATTTGCTATTAAGCAAACAAAATATTTAGAAAAGTGAAAAATACATTTATAATTATAAGATGGGTAATAATTTGTATTAGTAAATTAGTTACACTTACACGCCGAGATGGTTTTAAAAAATAAAATATTTATAACTATAATTTATTGAATGTATGCGATCAATTATTTTACAAAATTTTTAATTTTCATATAAATAATATGATAATATATTTTTGAACTAAATAGAATTAATATTGTACAAATATTTACTAATTTCGTATTATAATTGGTAGGTATGATTGAAATTATTAAGTTCACTGTAAGTTCTATATTATGAAATAAAATATACTAAACACGTACCTACCATCTTTATAAATATTAACTTTAGCGAGGTAGTATATAAAATATAAAATATTATAGTATAATAGTAAATAAGTTATTTGTATTATTTATATTAATTAGGTATATGTTATTGCACATTAAAGTGACGTGTTTATTTGCAATTATTCTAATAACTATTGAGTATTACTATAGCTATTTTATTAAAACTTAAAACTATTACTAGAATCCTGACGTTAATGCCTTAAAACAATTAAAATATAATACAATTATACATTAAAATCTTTGAAATATTCTAAATTTCCATCTTAATATAGTATACAGAATAAGTGGTAGGTAATAATACTTAGAAATTAGAACCCATTAGAGCCATAGCCCATAGGAAGTACACGAAATAAATTACTATTTTAATTACCCGCTTGAAAAATTTGTTTAAAATTAATTGTTTATGAATCACCACATTTATATTATATAGAGTCAAATTGTCAGAATATTAATAAAACACTCTTATTCACGACAATGATTGTTTCATCAAGATTCGTTTTAATCTCTGTAATAAATTAAATTAAATCAATTAATATTTGCCACGTTAATAGGTTTAATCCCAATTAAATCACTTAAGTGTAATGTTTAATCGTTACTAATTAGATCGTGAGCTTCATAATTAAATATATATAATATGTATGTGACAAATGACAATATCATTCAAATATTAGATACAGTGTCAGCTATTCCATGGTCAAGGTGGATTCTGTGATTGTGATAGCCGATAGGTACACCTTTAAATTTAAAGAGTGCTGCTGATACTGGGTAGATCAGAATATAATACATAATATGAATGAATAAAAAGTTAGGTTTGGTTTTTGTCATAACTTGTGCATTTCTGCATGCTGTAAATGTGTTATAACTTAAATATAGACATATATACAATATACAATACCTAAGTACGTCAATTTGACGACGGATATTGGGACGTATGTACCTATTTCTAATTTAATAATTGTTCAATACTGAACCTTAATTTTTGGACATGTCAACCATTGATTTTCAATAAAAATTCTAAAGGTAGGTAGGGCAATTATTAGGAATAGCACAGGCCACAGAATAAATAAATCATAATGGACACTGATAAGGAACTATACGAGAAGCATAGGGAAATCTAATAAACGAATTCACCATTTTTTTGGAGGAATTAATATAGCCATTACATACATATATAACAGTAAGATCTTCCTCCAAAAAAAATTTCCGCCAATTATTGTTATTTTATTTAAGTGTCCAGAACTTGATCATAGGATATAGGTATAGACACGAAGCCGCATGAATCAGTTTCTAATTATTATACTAGCCGTCATATTGCCACGACCAATTACAGTGGCGCCGAAGTCCATGCTAACGTCGGGCATGGCCCGACCACATTTTATTTACATCATAATTGTATTATGAGTGTCAGAGTGTGGGTATTTTAAATTCATGTCACCATGATTATGAGTAATAAATTTATATAACGGCAAGTACTTATATATTAAAAAATTAATATGTTGAGGTCGCGAAGTTTTGAACTTACCCGACCACATTTTAAAAACTTCGGCGTCACTGACCAATTCAATTTTTTACTTAGTACAGGCATAAGTACCTATTATACAATTTATACTCTCTACCAAACATAATTTTGATAAACTTTTATCACGGATACCTTAGAATTTAAAATTATTATAAATGTAATTGTTTGATATATCATTTTTTACATTTTTTTATAATTTATAATAATGTATGCGTGATTAATTGTTGCTCGTTGTACCTCATTATGAATACCAGGGTATATTTTAATAATTTTTTTTTATTATTTATATTTTGACAACCAATTTATTTAACGACAACTTTACCAAATGATAAATATTGACTAAATACCTACCATATTGTATACAATGATAAGTGTGTATACTGTACATAATATACATTGTATGTTTCTGTGGCCGGACAACCAAACACACTGGTTAGTACAATATATATATAATATATATATATTGTATTGTGTATATATATATATATGGGTTATGGGTAACCATACCTATACGTACGTAAATACGTTCATGCATCATACTTATTTACAAGCTATTATGAGTATTTTAGTACTAGAAAAAATGAGTGTGTTATCAGTTAGCCTCGAACTTCAAAGTATTGAAAAAAATTGATCCTTGACGTACCTATATACGCTTTAGCTTTATAGCTAATATATTATACCGACAATACCTAAACTATGTTGTTTACACTGTTCACTTATTTAAAGACATATTATGCTTACTACATTATAATTTTTTACAAATAGTTACATATACTGGTACCTGCTTATATACTAAGTTTAAGTTATATTATATTATAGTAATATAGTACATATATATACATACAGTTTACCTACAGGCTACAACCTACGTAACTCTGTGATGTATCTTGGTTTTATAATATAACTCATATACTTACTAAAAACCATAATGTTAATAGAATTGTCTTTGAATTGACTCGTATCTAAATTTGAATTTCAAATAAACAAATTTAAAATTCATATTTTTATTACATAATTTACGTTGGCTATACATACGCTTATTGTTATATAGGAAAATAAAATCAAACATTTGCCATTACACTGTCATTAGGTAATAATATTGCATATCTAGGTTTAACTAAACATCAATATATCATTTTATCATATCTATTCATTCAATATTTTTACAAATACATAATGGATTGATTTCAGTGTCACAATTTTTTATCCACACAAATAATGTGTGTAATGCAGAATATTAATAATCTACAAGTCTACAACAGTATTTTGTCTTGGACCTTTGAAACGATTCAATAATTAAATTCACGTTAGTAACATTAAAATCTCCAAAATATTTTTTCTCGAATCCTCTTTAAAAAAAATTAGTTCTAAGCGAAATTGGTTATATTTTAGGTACCTATATACTGCAGTAATGTACGTTCTGTAGCAAAACCATATTACTGTGTTTATACAATTATACACAATACTGTCAATAAACAATATTTATAGTTAAATTCCAATGTATTGGTTTGACGGACCTATACCTAGGTCACAATACTTACATCGGTAATAATTAATTGTAATAGCCGATAGGTACTATAATAACTAACCACTAGATACACAATAGTAAAAAAGTGCATATATTGTGCTATTTATTGCTACATGTATAAATATTTAGTAAACATTATTTGTAATAAGTAATAACTAATAAATAAAATATAATATTTTTATTATACGCTGATATTTTATGCAATATAAAATGGCATATCATTATATCATTATAATATAGACATACAAGTATACAACTATATATACATATATATTTATTATATGTCTTGTCATCATTAGTCTGTAAACAATTATAACTTTTAATTCTTACTAAACGATTGAAAATGATTTTATTTTTTTAAGGCTTCGTAATCTTTTTGGTATCACAATTTATTGTTTGTCTTTTATTAGCTACCTATCAATTTTAAAACATCGATAAAGTACCTATCGATCAGTACTTCATAATTCCTATTATAATTGACTGTTCGAAAATCCCGAACCTATTGGCCCAATAAATAGAGTCCGATTATGTTTTGCTGTAGCCTATAAGCTTATACAAATATTCCTATTAAATTGATTTTTGAAATCAGTGAAAATCCAAACCATATGCTTTTCTTAAAAATTTTTTGTATGCTGGGCTTTTAAAGTTTGGTCTGAGATTTATATTGTGCAAGTAAGCAAAGGCCAAGGAGGAGAGTGGAAACTATCTAAATATACCTGCACCTATTATAGTTTATGAGATTTTCGTTAAGTTTTTAAAATTAAATTATCATCTTTATACAGGTACAAAAGTCGTAAATTCATAAGAATACAATAGGTAGTTACTAGTTGTAACTTTATAAGGATAGGAGGACAAGGCGCGTTCCTTTGATAGTCCAATATCATTAATATTTAGTTATTAACACATATTTATTTTGCAAGAACGGATCCAGAGGGAGCAGTATGAGCAAGTTACCCTTCCCCTCGTTTACAAAAGAGATATAATATAATTTGTCATTATAATTATTAAAAATCAGCATCTTAAAAATGTTTTTAATTCAAGTGCCCCCTCCGAACACAGATTCTGGATTCACTCTTGATTTTATGTAGTACACGATTTCAATACAAGGTAAATTAAATTAAGTAGATTTTAATTGTATGGATATATATTAGGTATAACTCAGTGGCGTGCCCTACAGCTACAGGGATATTTTATCTGAAGCAATTTTTTGTTGATTTTCAAAGTGGCCGTATGGGGGATGTTATAACTTTATAAGTAATAAATACATTTTAAATGAATCCTCTGGTGGTAATACTATGAAGACACAAATAAGAGGATTTGTGGGACGATGGGGGCCGGGGGGATATACCCACTAACCTCCCCCTGCCGCTGCCCACTAGGCACTCCACTAAGTATACTATAAATTACTAAATACAAATGTACTATAGTTTATTATGAAAAATAATAATATATGCAAAAGGTATTTTTTTTTTTCAGGCAAATATCACATGCAAAAATACACAGCTGAAAGGTATTTATATATTAATTGATAAATCTTCATCTGATAGAACTTATAAACAAATTAATACTGACGCACTTAAGTAGTTTACCACATTTAAGCATTCAGAGTTCAGACAAATAAAGCAATGAAACACAAGTTCTGCAGGTGTTCATTATTCCACTACCCACCGCTCAACTAAACATTAAGTTATCACTTATCAGTTATCACTTATACAGAAAATTAATATTCAATGTTTATATATTACACTTATAATTACCTATAATATCTACATTTTTTTACTTAGGAATTCTGCTTCAGATCGTGAAATAAATTGTATGTTAGGTACCATTAAAAATTGATATTATGTTATAGTACAGTTACCTTATTATATACCTATTTAAGGGTGAACAAAATGTTAAAATTGCATATACATAGGCATATGCTATATATGTATTATATTTTTTAAGAATAAAAGTTCAGAAAAATTAATACTTTTTGGAATTCAGAGTATGTAATAAAATAATAACTAAGTCTACACATATAATTTTACTATAAAATAAAATGTATATTCCAGATGAAGAAAATATGTTAGATAATGTGCGGATTTTGTGTCGTGAACTTGATTCATTAACATATGTTTGGACTACGAAGAATAACATTGACGGTGTTAAAATAGTTGTGGAATTAATATCTCACAATACAATGGACATGCATTTGATATTAGAGGTATTTTTAAAAATGCAAGATTAAATATATAAATTGATGTATCGAAAAACTGGATGACTTCAAAAATTCGTGGTGATATTGAACAAATCAGTTTTGTTAATTAAAATTGGTAACAGAAAACTGCTGTTGAACTAAATATCTTATCAATCATTATTAACTATTACCAGAAGGCAGAGAGTCCTTGGTCCTTCCAACTTAAATTATATGCTCCGACCTTCATACATTATCATTCATCATACACGTCTTTTTTATGGAGGTATATAATGGAGTGTCTATTTTGGTATTTTGAAATAACTTACCTAAATCAGAATATTACTGTACAACAACGTACAATTTAGATACGGTATCCGAGATTTTTTTTATGGACTCTTAATTTTCTGGTGTACGATATTGTTACAATATACCTACTCAAAGTTATTTTATGAATAGGTAGTGAAGTAATTTGATAAGCCTAATACAAATAAGTCATTTTTTCGTCGGACTTCAAATGTGGCCAGAATGCATGTAAAATAGTTAGTTGGTCGCAATTATCAAAGTTATAATGCTAGTATGATGCAAAAAGCTATAGATGCTGTCTGCAGGAAATCAATGTCCATTATTAAAACTTCTAAAAAGTTTGGTGTGAAAAAAAGAAGAAATTGTTAAAAGAATATCAAATATGAAAAATAAATATTTTGCTCTATGCAAAAATATTTTTTATAATAATGATAATAATAATTTGAAATAGATACCTTGTAATAATTTTTTTAAATAAAAATATTAAAAATACATCCATTTTGTGGATGATTTCGAAAAAAAGTCTTTGAGAGTTTTATTTATTAATAATTCGTTTCTTCACTATCTTATTCTAATTTACAAAATTAATAAAATATATTTTTTTATAATTTTTCAATTATTACTTTAAGAATAATTAAAAAAGAAATTTTTATTAAAATCTGTTGAAATTCACATCGTTTTAAGGTAGGTCTTTGAATAGTAGAGATATATACTACGATATAATACAATAAAGTGTAAGTTTATATTCTATATTTCTATAAAAGAAAAATAGCAATGAAACCAGCTTACTTATAATGAATCAAAGCACTGGTATGATGATGGTGACTGAGAACTGAGGAGTGGGGACTATAAGTATATTAATATATGTTAATAAATCGATAGTCGATACTCGATACAGTTATATAAATTCATAATAGTTTTACTAATATTTATTAATTCGATAGTAAATGGTTAATAATTGATATAAATAACCTTATACCTATAAATGATAATAATCTTTCAAGAATAATTTATACTTAGGTATACTATCTATCTAAACATTTTACACCGTACAAATTATATACACATCATTTTGGCAAAGAGCTTATTTGTTTAGGTGGTTATAATACTTTCTTATTTTTGAACAAATAGCTTTATTATATATATTCTTTGAACATTTCTGTTTCGGTTTTTCACGGCTGCTGTAATATATATTACTATGCATGTATCAGACGGTTGTGTCAAACATTCGATTCAACAATCTAAAGCCGAACACCGAGTATGCTGCTAAATTCCGGATGTTGGTCAACGGCACTACGTATCACACAGCGGATACGCAAGTCCACAAGACGTTGGACGCCGGACAAAATAAAGGCTTGGTGCACTCGGTCAACATTTCAGATTTTACCGCGACAAATGATTCTAAACTTAACACGACACTCGCCTGGTCACCGTCGAATGGTACGCATAACATAAATAAATAATATAATATAAGCTATAATATGTGTCGCATACAAAAACCTATTACATATATATACATGACCAAATGATAATTCAGAGTATAATAATATACATAATACTAATGTGGAGGACGGAGAGGCCGAGTGGAGTAAAGCGTCTACTTTTCTCCTGACGGACAATCTGTCTGGAGAGAGAAGCCATCGTTACCCGACCGGGCATGTCAGAAACCTATACGGGTGCCCAATCGAAATTATGCCAAAATACAAACACACACGTGAATAAACCCGCAATGCCAAACCCTAACACTTCCACGAATAATCCCCTACCGTCCCACAGATCACACAATGGCCTTGATTAACGGCGGAAAATGTAATGGATATAGAACATAGATATATGGTTAAGGACTTAAGGTGTACCAGCCACCAGGATACAACTTTTGTTCTATCTAATATTTTTTATTTATTTTTTATATATAATTTACAGAGGCTTGAGCTACACATTTAAAAATAATTTTAATACTGAATTTAAAAAATTTTAAATCTGATATACATTTTTTTGAAAAAAAAATAAAATACCCCATTTGCAATCATGGTTTTTAAATCAATTTAGATTGTAAAAACATTTATTTGAGTCAAGTATATAGGCAATTTCTTTTTGAAATCTTATTTTTTTTTTTTTAAGCTTCGGCAACTGAGGCCATTAGCTGTAGCTGTACAGGGTTACTGTAGGGTACTATAGGTTGTGGGACTACTGGGACTGTAGGGTTATGGAACACGTGTGTGAAAATCTTACTATTTTTGTTAGGTAGGTACCTACCTAAATGATCCAGGTCTAAAAAACATTTAAAATTGTTTATTTTCAGTACTAGCACTTCATGGACCTTTAAAAATGCCATTTCTATATAATTTAAATTTTGTTCTATTCGTTATTTAATATTCAGGGTTAATGTGTATACTGTATATAGGTGTTCAAAACTTAAAAATTATATGCTATTTCTATTATAATCTGTAGCTAATGATAATAACTATTTATAAGCAAAAAAAAAATTGTCGATTTCCATCGACCATCGCGAATTATCGCGAACTTCGTGAGCGAGTACGTAAGTGTATAATTTATAACTCTAAAGTTTCATAGTTATACAAAGTTTGTCGTTTTTACTTAATCCAACCTACGGCAGATTTGATACAATGTGTCATCACTTGTCCTGTGGTTTTTGATATCGGCAGCTATATAATCTGACTTCGTCCGAGAAGTAATGATCAATTAATGTAAAATACGGCCGTAGTATTATTGGTGGGTATCTTGATTTTCGTATCCGGACATTTCGGCGTGGCCATCTCGACGTAGGGCCGTTTCGTCGTGGGTCTATTTCGGCGTAGTCATTTTTTCATTTTATCGCGTTTAGATAATAAAATGTTATCATTGCTTATATTGTACCTATATATATATATATCATTTATCAGTTTTTATTTGACTTTCGTTGGTTAGATGCAGGATGCCGTATAAACTTTATATAATAATAATAATAATAATAATAATAATAATAATATATATATATTATGGGATTACACTGTTCAAATTCACGGATGTTCATTTCATTTGACAACAAATTTTAAACTTAAAATGGGTGACTTGGAATTATTTTCGAAGTATAAAAATGATGCAGAATTTTCAATTTATGTTAAAATGATTTTGGCTTTGGCTTTTGTTAAAATTGATAGTTACTTTAGAATAGTGTTAACTTATTATATGATGAGCTGCCTGAAGAAATATTTCCTCTCTTAGAATGGTTTGAAGAAAACTACATCGGTACAGTTGTAAGAAATCGTCGTCGAAGCCCACTTTCCCCCCCTATAATTTGGAACGTTCATGATCGCGTACTTAGTAAAGAAGATCGAACAAATAATCACATTGAAACGGCAAATCGTCGCCTTAATCTACAAATGGCAGTTGACCACCCGACACTATGGGCATTTATATTATGCTTAAGGAGAATACAAAGTGGCCGAGACACCTTCTTTTGCCAATTAGAAACAGGCAAAAGTCCACCAAAAAAGAAAAAAAAAATACATTGACGTCGATAAACGTATTTTAAAATTAGTCGGCGATTATAATAATCGTAATATTATGAGTTTTTTTAAGAGGAATAGCACATAATTTAAGTATGATGACCTGAATATATACGATATACCTATTATATTTATATTTTATAAAGTGACCTATCTAATTTCTTAAAATGGCCCTACGGCCTACGCCGAAACGGCCCTACGCCGAAATGTCCTAGACCACTTGGTTTTAGCGTTCTTCTGCAGTTCAGATTTTATAGCTCTAGGAATAATTACCGAATGGCTAAAAAAAAGTGCTGTATAATAACGTGTAACGCACGATTCAAAAATTATTGATAGAAATTTAGAACACTATATAGTTATTAAATTAGTCAGGCTTTCCTGGTATGCTCTGTATATACACACTAGGCATTATATAATACTGTGCATCTATTTTAATTCTATAAAATAGTACGATAACTGCATATCCCCAGATTTTGAGCTATCAACTCGTTTGCATATCGTACGGCAATAACCAATTACCTATACAGCTATGAATTAAAATAAATAAATAGAGTACTAATTAATACTATATATGCAATATTGTGAAATTAAATTATATACTTATTTATAAGAGTAGGACTTGGGCACCTAGTTGCCATATTAATTGATATATCGTTGAGAATAGTGTATTTTCATCATATTATGAACCACCCATTTCTGTGTTACCTATTCAATGCCGAGGTACACTCGAAACTTACCTACTTTAATACTTTATAATATTAAACTATGTTATACCACACACCGATTTCTCTGATTTTTATAAACTATTGTATAGTTAACACTCGACAGTAATAGACTATTGAATGTTAGTTGCTACTATATTAGGTAGAATAGAAGATTTCCAACCAGGAACGTTTTGTATAAGATGTCCATTTTCGTCAACCATATTTAAAAAGAATATTTCAATATAAATTATTTTTTTCTCTAAATATGTCTAATAATAAAACGAAATACATTTCCAAATATTTCCATAATTTATGTAATGATTTATATATATATATGTTACGGGCAAAGTGGAAAATTCGGGCAGTGTATACAATGTCCGAGGTATATTGGGCAATGTAAATTGTGAAGTATTTATACAAATAATCTGCATGATATTATTTTACCTAATCAATGATATTATATACTAATAATTATTATACTCGTTTATATGGTTATTTATATAAGAATATTTTTTTTTAATTAATTACATTTTAAATGTATTTAAAGGTAATGCAATAAAATATTATGTGCATAATGTTCAGTTATATGATATTATACATGAAGTTCATTTGTCAATTGGACATGGAGGTAGAAATAGAATGGAACACGAGATTAATAAAAAGTACAAAAATATAACTAGAGATGTAATAATGTTATACTTAAATAATTGCGAATCGTGTAAAAAGAAGGGAAGTACAGCTAAAAAAGGGTTGGTTGTAAAACCAATCATATCTTCTGAAATGAATTCTCGCTGTCAAATTGACTTGATCGACATGCAAGCACAATCAGATGTCGATTATAAATTCATATTAGTTTATCATTATCATCTAACAAAATATATTATGCAGATTATTTGTATAAATACTTCACAATTTACATTGCTCAATATACCTCGGACATTGTATACATTGCCCGAATTTTCCACTTTGCCCGTAACATATATTATATATTTATATTGTGTAGTATTGAATATCAATTGTTGTACGATGCCCTAAAAAATATTACGTGAAAGAAATATAATAAGTAAAAGATTTTGTAAATAAAATATAATATTAGTAATTAATGGCTTATTAGAAATTAGTAATTGATAAAAAAAAAAGTTGCTAGATTTTCTACATATTGAAGATACTATGCATTTTGTAATCTTTGATAGTTACATTTAAAATTTTTTTTATCCCATAAATATTTAATACACCTAACCTTAAGTTATAATAATTTTTTTAAACATAAACTATTATTTATCAATATTTTTTTTAATTAAAATATATTACTCGATGGGAGAGGGGAGAAATCTCAAATCTCTGGGGGACGAAATCGTCATACATTTGGACATTCCGAAGATTGTCATATTGGCATTCCTTTTTCCTATACGGCCATACATATCTATATTGAGTTTTATTGAAATGATTGTAGACATGAATTGTCACTATAAAATCATTTACCACGTGAACAGTGCATCCGAAGGCTTGAAAACTCGTTACGTGGACGTCAGAGAGTCGTACGCTGTCACATTAAATGATTTGATTCCGGAAAACAAGTACACGGTCCTAATACAAGCGTACTATAAATTCAAAAATAAGTCGTCAACCATCATCTCAGGCGATAAGGTGGAATTCAAGTTCTCAACGCCGTTATGTTTGGAAATCAAAAATTTCAACTTGAACTCGTGTCGTAAGTATAGACATTTGACAAGTACCTATATATTTACATGACAGGTACACCATACACAACATGTTGAACAGGACAATTTCTTGGGACGATGTGCTTTCTTATTAGTTATTAGCAATCTATCTAAAATTATATTTCATTTTCAACTATATGTATAAAGCAACATAATATATGAATTTACACCTATAAATAACTAATTTTTATTTTGCAGTTTTTGATATTAGGTACCTACTTACCTATGTCTTATAGTTATTATTATAGCTCATTTTTGAATCAATAACGGATGCATGCTCAATTTTAATGTGATACTTATTACAACTTTTTCCAATTTTATAGTTAAAACCATTTTTAAGAATTATTATCCTTAGTATATAGGTACACTCGTACACTTTAATAGCTCAGAAACTAGGTAGGTACTCAATACTCATTAGAATTTTGAATTAGATACCTATACATCAAAATTTTTAAAAAAATTATCCGCTAAATAATTTAGGTTCTCATTTGAAAAAAAGAAGTTCGTATCACCACAAAACACTTCAAGTAGAACAAAAAAATATCAGAATTCGAATAAATATAGTATTAGAGGACAAAATGGGGCTGAGCATGCTTAAAAAATCACCCTGTAGCCTGTAACTTAAAACTTAAATTATTGATAGGTACCTAGGTATTTAGGCATTACCTACTGTACCCGGGCAGTCTATTATTTATTCTGGTATTTAATTTACTTTTTAAAAGATATTATACATTTTAAAAATTAATCGTGCCTACGGTACTGTGCTAATCTGTAAAAAAATGTACGTAGGTACCTAAATACTTAAATGTCATATTAGTTCGTATACAAAGTAAATATGTTTATACCTAAATAAAAAAATGTAATTTAATTAAAATAAAAAAGTACTCAATAACTGCATTATTTAAAAATAAGATGGGACTGTGTTGCGATAGGATTAGAATTGTGATTGTTATAGTATTAGAACCACTATTGACCATTACCAAAAAAAAACATCAACGGCGTCAAATAGTATACCTACCTACGTTGTTACTTCGGTATTGAACGGTACGCAGGTACTTAAACTTATCGGTATTACACTATTACACTATTACGGTCTACCGTTTAAGTGGTATTTAAGGAATTGCCGGTACACTGAGTTAACACACCAGTTAACTGCTTACCGAAAAAACCTTCAACTTTATATTATAATACTATCATATTATATTATAGCTCCAGGGCAGCCATACGGCGTAAAACTGTCCGAGACGCCGTCAGCGAGAGGTAATCTTAAGGACAGATACGACGCCCAGGTACGCTGGAAGAGTCCGAACACGGATGGCCGGGGCGTAGACTACTTCACGGTCAGGTTGGACAACGAAGTGAAGAACGTGTCAGGCAAGGACTACATCATTTCGGCAGTAAATTCGTCGCAGAACACGGACGAGGCGAAGAACGCGTCGGGTGTCACTGAGTATGTGGCGTTGTTCGACAACGTGCCGCTTGGCGACCGGTGCTTGGTAAGCGTGCAGGCTTTTTCGCGCATCGGCCACGGCCGCGAGTTCATGACGTGGCTACAGCGCATCAGCAACGAAACCGCAGCCACAGAGCAACACCGATTATACTATTATCCGCCGTGGACGACGGTCACACTACTCGGTTTGTTGGCGTTCTGCGTGGTGTTGGCCGTCCGACAACGCTTGCACCGGGGCGCAGCGGACGGTTCGGATTGCGGTAGCAAGGTGTCTGCGGATGGTTACGACATGGCTATGCTCAAGGGACTGGACGACGTGGACGTGTTGCTGGACGATGACGCGGTCACCGTGTCCGACGTGTTCTTGGGACACGGCCACTTCGGCGTGGTCAGGAAGGGCACTCTAAAGACGGCCGACGGCCGCGTGTGTTCGGTGGCCGTCAAGTCACTCCGGGACCGACCAAGCAGCCGAGACCTGGACGAGTTCTTGCGTGAGATACTGCTTATGCAGAAGGTCGGTAAGCACCCGAACATCGTGTCCATGATCGGATGTTGCCTGGACGCCAACCGGCGATGCATGCTAGTCGTCGAGTACTGTCAGTTGGGTGACTTGCAGACTTACCTGAGAAAGGTGAGATTATTCTAATATCACACCCCTAATACATACTGGACGGCGCTGACCTTTAGCGGTAAAGGCGAAATATTAAAAATAATAATATTATCAATTAATCAATATACGGCATAAATAATAATATTATTATAAATGCATTCACATTATTGGGACTTTAGTGGGTACTGGCGGAACTGTAGAAATATAGATAATAATAGTAATATCCCATTCCCCTTTGCCATTTTGTAATGACAATTAATCACTATAAAAAATTAATGTTTATTTATACCTAATACAGTATTATCCAATATCCATGTTGTTAATGATTTGTTTATTAAGAAATTAGATAAACAAAAAATGTTTTCAATTTATTGTGTTAATAGATTTCATAACTTCATCTAGTCATATTGATCGCAATTAACGTTTACTCAAAATTAGTAGGTAAATCTGATGAGCACAATTGAACTACTAAAAAAATATTTTAATTTGGGTAAAAAAATTAAGGTAGCTATACATACTGTGTGTCCAATACCTCCAGACTCCAGAGAACGACAATGATGCACACTTAGAGAACAGGAGTCAAAAATTAGTTTTTAAAAAGATCCAGATGAATTAAAGAAAAATGTTTGAATTCCAGAAAATGTATTAAATTCGTTCCCAGTATTTTAGCTAAATATTCGAAATCAAATAAAAAATAAATCAATTAATAAAAATAATAATGATAATAACTATAAAAAAATGATTTTACCGAAAATGGAAGAATCTAAAAAACAAATAAAAGGGTGTACCCAACATTGAAAGTTGAATGTTTTGGGGTGTCCAGTTCTTTTTACCTCGCCTTTAATTTCGGATCCATGATGTTATTAAGGATAATAGGCACGATTATCGCCCTCGGGGTAAAGGTCAAGATCATGCAAAATTATTCTGACTAATATCTTACTTAGGTCAGCATCAAATCGTGGTACGCCAACGACTTTTACGTGGGTCGGACAGATCAGGCAAATCTCACTGCTGCGGCGAACAGCAAGGGAGTCGAATCGCTGCAGGAAGCGACGGGTCAGCCACCGATGGTCTTCAACAACTGTTACCTATACCACGGCGATGAAAACGTATTCCTCACGGTGGACGACTTGTTGCGTTTTGCCAGCCAAGCGGCTAACGGCATGGTAAGGAGCCAGTTTCTATTATTTTATTATTTATTATTATTTATACCGTTGAAATACCAACGTAAACGTGATAATGACAGTCAGGGGCGTCAACCCCCCCCCGAAATTTTTTTCTAAGCACGCCCCTGACGACAGTACTCTTTGCTCGTGGATAAAAATTTAATAGGTACAGTAAAATATGAGGTACCTACTACCTATAGGGCTATATGTACCGCGTGTGAGACAAGTACCTATAACTGTACGTCTTTATTTAATATCCATTGCCGTTTCTCTCAATATTTTTCTGTCTTCCATGCGACCATGCGCACACTTAGCACAAGTATAGTAGGTAGTTATAAGTTGTATAATTAGTGTTGTAGCACTACTATAAACCTACCTACTTACATCCATTCCCTTAATTAGGTACTCATCAATTTCTCGTTCCAAAATACTTAACATTTTACACTTGGTATAGTTATAGGTACCTATTGAATATTGATACAGATGACAAAAGGCGAATGTCCTGTAACGTGCGCATTATAATACCTATATAGGCATTTGTTTATTTATTTTGCGCATAAATACGGGTCAAACATAATGGTGAACAGTTAACTAATACTTTAACAGGGTAAATATATACATAATATGTACATATAATAGTGAAGAGGACCGTGGTTAACAACGCACATTAGACGAATGGCTGGAGGATAATTACTAATACAGTTAGCTGAAGTCTGAAGGTATAGGGGTTGGAACAGGGCATCTGAACAGGGAACGGTAGAATGGCAAAGTTCATTGAAATTAATATTAGCTAGGGTCGCAGGGGAGACGATTTTACCGAAGTTTAAGCTTATAATATCTCACTAGTCACGGTATACTTATTAATTTGATACGAATTCTAGCTGTTTTTGGAAAGTAACCGAGTGGTACACAGGGACTTGGCCGCACGGAACGTATTGCTCAGCGACCACCGCACGATAAAGATATGCGATTTCGGCCTTAGCCGGGACGTGTATGAACAGAACCTCTACCAGAAGTCGAACCGCGGCGATGCTCTGCCAGTAAAATGGATGGCGCTGGAGTCGCTCAAGTACCAGCTCTACACTACTCAGAGTGATGTGTGGTCGTTTGGAGTGCTTCTCTGGGAAATCATGATGTTGGGCGGGTGTCCTTATCCGACGATAAGTTCATCCAGGATATATGAAGTATTACGCAGAGGTTACCGTATGCCCAGGCCCACTTTGTGCTGTTACAGTTTATACGAAGTCATGCTTGCGTGCTGGCATTCAAACCCGGCCAACCGGCCAAAGTTTCGTACAATCAAAGACACAATTGACGGTATAATGGAAAATCAATACTCATAATCATATTTTTTTTTACCAAATTTTAATTTTTTTTTTTATTATTATATTATAATATAATATATGGTTTTTTTTTAAAAATATAACATATATATATTGAGACCTAAGTGAAGTAGTAACAATTAACTCGTTACCTCAGATTTAGGGTCTTTAATGACTAATAAAGAAGAAGACGAAACAATTTGAGATAGGAATGCATGTTGGGCAGACGGATAAGGTCGTGCCAGCACATCAAGTTTAGCTGTAGTTTTATAACACCCTTGAGAAGCAACTGCAGCGTATAAGCGAATATTGCGTGTTGTTGAAACTGGCAATAAAAAAGGCTTTGGATTAATAACTCCGATCCAACAGAAATGTTGATCATCAACATCCGACCTGTAAACAAAGAAAAATTTTCATTATATTTCCGTTTAAATTTTATGAGAGTAAGGTTATATTAAATTAACAAGCAAAGTAATATTTTTGTTAATTACCCTGGTACATTAACCCGACAAATTTAATATTTTTATTTAATCAGCCTGATCCATAAATATCAAGGGCAAAAATAACAAAATAATTTTGTTACTTACTTTGAAGAACTAGTTGTGTTGGTATCAATCTTAACTTCAATTGTATGTTCAACACAGTTCTTAAGTATTATAAGTACAGAGACAATACACATTCTAAAATTATAAAAAGGTATGGTTAAATTTGTATTAATTGTAGTAACTTATAACATTTGTATAACTTAATCACTTAGAAGTTATTAACAGTGGTGTTTCCTATGATGTATACTCTAAATACACCATATACTCTTAACATTATTAATAAAAATCATGGGTATTCTATGTTTACCCTCAATTCTCAATGAATTTGCAAAAAAAAATAGTTATTGTTTTTGTAGTGGATGATTCATGTCTTTAATGAAAACCAATAAAAATATATTTAGGTATCTATTATTTAATATATTTATTTTTTTAAATAAATAAAATGAAAGTTTGTTTGTTATCAATTGTTATTAATACACCTCCCTTATTACATCAAAGTCTGGAATTTAATGTAGTAAATGGTATTATGGAATATCGTTTTCCAGATTTTTAACATTCTAAACTTTTTCATTAAAATAAACTGTTAAAATTATACTGAGTACCCCTCAACAAATTGTATAAGAACATCACTGCTTATAAATGATACAGAAGAAATGTTAATCAAAAACTTACTTTTTATCAATAAAGGAATGTGAAACGGTACTAGGATGTGAAAAAGCAATATTAAGCAACCGATTCATGGGTGACTCTAACAATCCAGTTGCATCATTAGGTAGAGGTGTCCCATCATATGGATGTATATTCCGATCAGGTCCGAATATTTTTAATCTTCCTATTGGCTTGGCAATATTTTTTGAAGCATCTAAACATCCAAATTCAGGCCATGCAACACTTAAATTTAATTTTGTCAAAGAAACCCTGTGAATGCCACATATAATTCTCAACTGATTTGAATGATCTTTGATTATTACCTGAGAATACAACAATAGATATATAATGGAATACAATAAAAATACAAATATTATATTACCTGCCATAAAATGGCCAAAACAAGATCAATGCATTTTAACACCTCTGTATGAACTTTGTGTCTATCAAACTTTGGCATTTTAATTTCTTTAGATAGTGATTTTGTTATTGAAACAAATTTTTCACACATATCAGTTTGCGGAAATTGTTCATTATCAAAATTAATTTTGGAGATACCACTTTTGTTTGTTCGACAAGCTTGTAAGAATAAATGACATGACTGTTGTTGATCCAAATCTTTTATACTTCCTTGAGGGTAAATTTTTTTAGATAGTGTCCATTCTGGACTGTACAAGAATACTTGCTTTAGTTTTACTTGTTCTATTTCGTTTCCCTGAAATTATGATTTAATAATAAATGTAAATTCAACTAAAATAAAACAAAAATTACCTTATATAAGTTATGAACGATTGTTTTTAAATTAAGGGTTTCACTGTTTTGGTTTGCAAGTAATGCAGAAGCAGATAACCTAACACAAGGTTTTGCTGTCATGAACCAGCTAGCCCTGCATAATCTGTATTCTTGTTTTTTAGTTTCGATTTGAGATTCATAATAAAATAACAAGTCGAGGCTAAATGTTTCTGTGTCTGGACTATTGAAGCAAAATTCTACAGACTTTTTAGAATTAGGTGGCATTTGAATCAACAAACTTCGAATTTTTTTGTTTTTGCAAGAATGATTTGATTCTGAGAAAAATGAATCTTCAATTGAAGTTGATACATAGATTTTATGCAATGGTATTGCACCAGCATTTTCTAATGTTAATCGTATTATGTTCATTTCACCAATTAATGTGTTAACTTGATTTCCATCAAAATCGACCTAAAACCAAAAAAAAAAAAATTATACTATACACATACTCATATGATAATTAATATTAACACTATAAAAAAAAGTTATAAGAGTTTTATTTGAAATACTGATTAATAATATGGATTTATTACATTGGTTGTATTTAATCAATAATTTCAATGAACATTGAATGTTAATGACAATATTTGTTTTATACTATGAAAGCCCTAATATTATATTAATGTAGAATAATGTTTGAATATAAAGAGTTTTGAAAAACTTGTCTTATTTATATAACTCAAATATGCCATGTATAGTAAATACTATAAATAACCGCCCTAACACTCACTGTTTAGGATGTCCTATTTACACGTAACAGAGTAAATATTTATCCTATGATGATTTTATATTATTTATATTACTTTAAGATCACAATTTAGTGACTTACTTTGTATGCAGATTTGTTTTATTAAAAAACATAAAAAAAATAGGAGGATTAGAAGAAATTATAAAATTAAAAAAAATTAGATTATATTAGTTAAATTATATAATTGTTTTAAAAAAAAAAATATATATATTTTAATTTTGAATTCTATTTTAAATTTTAATAAGTATAATGTAATTATTAGGCAGTTCCAGTTGACATTTAACTGTATAATATTAAAACAATCAAGATAAAAAACATTATTTAAAAAAAATATATATTCAGTTTATTTTATGTAGGTAATGAAACACAAAATAAATAAATTATTCCATTACACCAATTGTATAACTTTAGAGTCTAGCTAGTAACTAGTCAACAATTTACTAGAATAATAAGGGAACCAAACTTTATTTGTCTCTCTATCTATAAAAAGCTATAAGTACTACATAAATATTTATGCTGTGAGCATTATAAAAGGTTTAAGGCACAATAACTAGGGCTTGGATTTGTATGCAAAAAATAATGTAAAATATGTACATCAAAAATGTATAATCATAGGTGTTTGTAGGGTTTCAGGTTTGGTCCATCAAACATTTTAAGTTATTAAGCAATTCTTAGTGCATATCTATTAGCTAGTAATATCAATAATGAATAAGCAATTGTAAGGACTTCAAATATTAAAGTTCACATAAAATTTGACACTAACCATTGGAAAATATGCAAAATAAAATTTAAAAAGAGAAAATTTAAATTGTTCTAACGTTTAAGCATAAGTTTACTTTAAATTGTTTTAAATTTATATTTATTTAAAGGTTAAGTTAGAGAAGGGTAGTCCAATATTTTGTAGTTGGCAGGCAAAATGCAGAGATTCAAATAAATATTGGAGGCCTCCAAAAGAAAAAAAATGTATTATTATTTATTCAGTCCACGAAAACCGGTAGAATTAATTATTAGACAGATATCACCAACTGCAGCAGATTTGACCACCCTGGTATAACTGTATAAGTAATACATTGGTGGATAGTAGAGGTATCATTCTAGACTTTGTATTTTCATGGACCAGAGATAGATTCTAGCGTTAAACGCAAAAAATTGCCTAATTTTTTACATGCATGCTATTAAATTATAAAAATATTTTAAACATATATACAGTGTCCTGTGAGGATTTACTCATTGTGATATCTCCTGAAATAATGTAGACATCATAATTCTGGTTTTTTATTAATACTCATAGAGATAAGCACTACAAGTAATTCATGTTTTAATATATTTTTTATGTTTCGGTAAAAAAGTTAAAAAATATATTTTTTTATTAATTATTTAAAAAAAAAATTGAAGATAGCCGTTTTGCAGAATTCATTTTTCTGAAAATAATGAAGTTTCAACATTTTAATTTTATTAATCTCCTGATTTTTAATCAATTTTTTAGTTAATATGTAAAACAGCAAAAAACCGGTTTAGGCGGCGAGTCCCCCTCTACACCTAACGGGTATATCCTCACAGGACATCCTGTATAAATAAGAAAATAAATAAATGTGGTCTTATTATTTATTATTTAAATAAAATACTATAATACAATAAGTATTTTAATTGTTTGAGTGCCATGAATCTATCTACCATCCCTGATATACACACAATATATATACATAATACATTTATTATGTCCACAAAAAAAATGTTTTTTTTCCCACTTAGAATATTTTTATAATAAAACATGTAATTTTTGTAAATTTAATAACTATTCCAATGTGAACAATTAAAAATTAAACACATATTTTTACATTAGATTTTAAGCACACGAAGCCAAGAGCCGTAGTCATAACTCATAACTCATTGATAATTATTAAATAGTGTATTAATAATCTACCTTCATTAATGAAGTTTGTGGTTGAACGTTGAACTGAGTAGAACTCAACATCTCAAAACGTTGCCAACCATTTATTACTCGCTTGACTATATCATCACTCGTAATTGATGGAATCAATAAGTTAAACTGAACACCAGTTATGGTTAGAATCCCAGTACTTTTAGTTTTTAGTCCAAGAATAACCTGGTAATACATAAGAAAAAGTTTAAGAATGTCATTATACATTTATTATTTGTAAGTGTAAGCTACTTGTGTTGTACTGGAAGGTGCTAAAAGAAGTTCATCTAGCACTTGAGGTTCAACCAAATGTAACTCTTTATCAAAAGAATATGTTAATGATAAGTTTTCAATGCATAAGGATATGTTTAATGGGTTTGATAATGTCATTTGTACTTGCACTAATTCTGTTAATACAAAATACAAATATACATTGCATATTTTAATAAAAGTATA